AGTTTTGCTGCCATTGTGTCTTTTACTTAATATCCTTAGACAAAATTTCAACTCGTTCATGGAAAAGGCACCAGAAAGTGCCAGAAAGGATTACAATCAGCGCAAAACCCGGAGATCCCCACGCTTTTCGGATATAGTACCTTTTTTGGACGGAAAAAAGCTCTAAAGGGCGGTATTTGAACTTTCCTGATGTGAATAAATTGTTAAGTCCTAAACGCGTTAAGGTCAACGCGCGCGTTAAGTCCGAAACGAGTTAAGATAACGCGTTAAGAATAAAAGTACACTTTGAACAGCATATTATTGAAGTATGGAAGGGCCAGCGCTGCAGGTGACAGTCCGAAAGATATGGATTTTTCATGAGAAGGTCCATGCGGTCACGGTCAGGCGATATCTTTCATTCTAGCATCCAGAATGTCCAGGAGCACGAACTACTCTTACATGGTCAATCACGTCTGGCAAGCTACAACTTCTGGGAGGTGTCCTCTGTCACACGAGGTAGTTCGACAATCTGGCTGAATCCCGGGTACTCTGGAAGGTTCAGACCAAACTCCTCTTCCATAGCCCTACAGGAATACATCCATCAGTACATTTCTGGAGTGATACAAAACCAACGTACTTGGTGACAAACCGCCCTCCCAGGAAGTGCCTTCCGGTGAACTTCCTGACCCCCTCCTTCGGCGCCGTCAAAGTAATCAACACGTCCGGGTTGAGTCCCACGCCTGCGTCGTTGCCCTTCTCGACGTCCCAGCCTGAGGGGATGTCGACGGAAACAATCGGCAAGCCAGATTGGTTGAGAAGCGGGAGTGCAGCGTCGAACGGTGCGCGCACGGGCGGCTTGAATGAGAAGCCAAATATGGCATCAAGGATGACGTCCGAGCGAGCGAGAATGTCACGCAGGGAGTGTGTTTCGTCGGTGGGAGTGAGAGTCTGGATGTGCATATTGTCGCACTGAGTTTTCAATCTCTGAGCAAGACCTGGGCGTAAGTTTCTTTGTAGGAACTGCCGAAGGGAGCAGCATACTTTGTAGATCTCCTTCGATCCTGGCTGCACGATACCAGAACCATCAGCTGACAGGCAGACTTGCCACACTACGGAGCTTACCTTGGGCATCCAGATAGTCGGCTTATACCCGAACATGCCTTCGTACTCCTCAGATTATCTGTCACCATCACGAGAAGCTACTACGCTCACCAAGGTGTCTCGCAGCCACCAAACCGTCGCCCCCCTGGTTTCCCGGCCCACAGCAGACCAGCACGCGGGGATACTTCTCCTTGCTATACACGGTCGCAAGAGTCTGCGCGCAAGCCAACCCAGCAAGCTCCATGAGCTATACATGCACATCCAGATGTCAGCGTCGATCAATGATCTCATCACTTGACTATTACCTGGTCGATACTGAACGCCCCGGTCGCGCTCATGAGCTCCTCATCGATCTGTCCACGCATACATGCAATGAGCATCGTTCTTGCGCTCGCCTGCGAGCATACACACTTGCTGGGCAAGCTTAGCGGTCAAGTAGCGCATGGTCATCTTCAGATTATTAGTGGAACGTAAAGAGGTACGTCTTTAAGCGAGTTGCTCGAGCTGTAGTGCATATATCTTGTGAAGTGACATCATCGTTCGTTCCAGAACGGGCGCTTGACTCGAAAGCCGTTGTCAATAGTCAATAGACTACCTTGTCTTCGTTGCGAACCAAGTCTTATACTCGGGGAAAGATTTTCAAACGGTAACGTTAACCCCCGAAATGGATTTACACAGCACTTTATACGGTGCTATGTCTCCAACGGAAGCGAGCCCCTAATTAAATTAATCCGCGTGAGGCTTCGTACACACCCTCCGATGTTCCTCCCAATCCAGCCTCTGATGCTCCGGCGAGCAGTACTTTATCGATTTACATCGGCTACATACCAGCCCTGCAAAACGCGGGGCACTCGCCTCTTCGACGCCTCCATCACTCCCTTCGCTGCTGCCCGTGATGCTACTCTCGCTCACACCTTCACCTATCTGGCCGCCATGTGCAGTGTCGTCGAAGCAGACATGGCAGTCGATCCAATTGCACATTTCCCTGGCCTTAGCACGTCGGCCGTAGCGATAACGGACCTTCCTCCTGTAACATAGCACTGCCGCGGTCTCGAGACCCTTCTTTGGGAACCTAATAAGCTCGCAACAGTTGTCTGTGCAACCAGGATTTGGGCAGCCGCTAGGAAAGTCGAAGTAGACGTCCTTGGATGGGACAAAAAGCGAGTTGGCGAAGAGAATCTGAGAGTATGACATGGTTTGGTGGGAGAAGAGAACGATAAAGGGCGGCTTCTTCTCATAGAGAATCGCTCTTAGTGTGAGATCAAGTTGGGGAAAGCATGGCGTCCGCCGCTGTCGTTCGAAAGTGTGCGTGAGATGCATGTCTAGTGGGAGAAAGCGTGCGCATTGTCGGTAACAATCGGAAGCGCAGAGAGTGGGACTGACGGTCATGGTTGATTTTCTGCTCCACGCTGTGTTTACACGACCCATTTGATGCATGTTGGCAGACGTACTTGAAGTAATCTGTGACTTGGTCCATCTCCTGGCGTTTGAGATCCGTGACAATTACATATATCTCGTCGCAGCCGCGATCGTGCATGCCTCGCAGGAGCATCAGTTCCGGGAGCTAAGGCACATGCATCCAGAGCGGATCAATTGGTCGTACGACGGGGGGAACCCACCATGCTGAAGATCACAGGCATCATGTTCAGCCTCGACATGGATTTGTGGTGGTACACATGAGTGACCCATGTCCGGTCCAGGGGTATCAGGCGGCCCGTGTCGACGGTGCGCGTGAAGATGTTCTCGGGGACGAAGACACCCTTATTCCACAGCAAAATCTGTTCCTTGCGAGCATTCGTGTTCGCAGCGTGTCGTCGCTCGCGGACGCGCTGAAACCAGTCGTAGTAGGCATCGGGACGATGGGGCCGCTCAAGCCATTTGTCGATGAGGAGGTCTGTCGCATCGTTGTCGAGCTTCTGGCAAACGAGCTCGCTCATGGAGAGGCTGGGGGGTATAAACTTGGAGTAATAACGACCAGGCATGGCGACGGTGGTGAGGTGAGGTCAGGGAGAGAAATGGGCTGAGCGCTGGAGTCGAGCAAAAGCACGCTGCGATCAGCCAGAAGGGATCGCTAATCGGAGTTGGGCGTCTAGACCGTTACGGCGCGAAAAAGCCGCCCCTAAACTATGTGCCATCACGTGTCAATACGCGTCTCGCTTGCACGCGCCTGCGGCTGAAGCGTCTCGCGTGTTTTGTTTCTTCTCGTCTAGCATAGATTCTGATAATACATGACACTCTTTATGCTTTACGTGTACTTGGCTGGTCTACTTCTTCTCACACATTTGTATGATTGCTCTGTAGCCTCAAGTGCGCCGCATTTCGCTTCGTCTGTCTCCCGTTTACGCTGACTTCGCTTGCTTCACAGCTATTCATACTGAGCATTCAACTGCAGCGCCATCAGTGAGTAGCGTTATTCAGCCTATATGTTATCTTGTAAGCCAGTACTCAACATCTCAGTGCAAGCGCTGGTTCGAAGTGCGTATGTTTGTGCTGGCTTCTTGTGACGAGAAACAATGAATCGCTGCCTAGATTCTGGACGATCTTCAATACAACGTGTAAACTTATAAAAATCGAAACGTTTTTGGCATATGTTGAATGTGATGCTTAGATTCGGTGGCGGGAAATGCGGCGATCCGGCCAGGAAGGCACTTCGACTCACGTTTCATGACGGAATAGGTCGTTCTGCTGCTTTGAAAGCTTCTGGGAGATTTCCGTGCGTATTCAAATACTTAGGCACACTATCCTATGGCTCAACAACAAGTAGTGGAGGAGGTGCAGGCAAGTGCCATTCTCTGGTCAGTGCGCGCGGAAGCTCACATATGCATGCAGATGGCAGCATCATCAAGTTTGCAGATGTCGAGCTAGAAGACCGTATGTACATGTCATCGCCGATATATCGCGACTCATCAGAAATCGTAGCGGCAAACACAGGCCTGGAAGACATAGTGTATGTTCTCAGATCTCTGGCTGATGACCACGGTGTGAGCTACGGCGACATGTGCGTATCGTCGCTTACTCCTGGTTGCTTAATCCATGCGACTTCAGCGCATATACTGACCAATGGATGAAGCATACAATTTGCCGGAGCCGTGGCTCTGTCCAACTGTCCCGGAAGCCCTCGCCTCGCCTTCTATGCTGGACGTGCCGAGGCGATCGCCCCCTCTCCACCTAAGCTGGCCCCATTCCCGACAGATTCGGCAGAAACGATATTGTCTCGGATGGCAGATGCAGGGTTCACAGCAGAGGACACGGTCGCACTCATGGCAGCGCACTCGGTCGCCGTGCAAAAGATTATCGATCCTAGCGCAGTTGGCGCACCGTTGGACAGCACGCCGGAAGCCTTTGACTCGCAGTTCTATTTGGAGGTACGTCGGAAGCGAGATGCCAAGCTCCGCTAACCTAATCTCCTTGACGAGACTCTTCTTAGGGGCACCAGCTACCCTGGCAAAGGGAGATCAGCGGCAGAGGCGAAGTCACCTGTAAAGCACGTATTCCGACTGGCATCGGATGCTGCGCTTGCACGGCATAAAAGCACCGCTTGCTACTGGGAAGCGTTCGTCGGTGAGCTCCGAATAATCCATGTGCAAGATCAACTGGTGAAGATACCTCGTTGTTCTGACGTGACTGCCGCGTGTACAGGTGATCAAGAGCGTATGCGCGGATCCTTCCGAAAAGCCATGGAGAAGCTCGCGAATCAGGGCCATTCAAATCTCGCCGATTGTTCGTCTGTCATTCCTGCTCCGAAGCCTTGGAACCGCCCGCCTAAGTTGCCTCGAGGCAAGAACGTCTCGGATATCGAACAGACTGTGAGTCGTTTGCGCCGCCTCCAGGCATCCCTGACACCTCCGCCCTATGCTGGTTGACGCCGTAGTGCACGGCGGTCCAATTCCCCCCTCTAGCCTAACCCATGCACATCGCTACACAGCTGGACCGGCCCTATGTCGGAGGAATTCTCATGCAGCTTTTCTTCATTATTGTTATGCCCCACGTCAATGTGAAATCCTAGCATTAGTGTAATTATGTCGCGTGTCTGCAAATGCCAATTTGAGCATTCAGGAGGAGCAATGTGACAATCATCGCCAATAAGTAACGACATTCATTCACTCGTATCTCCGTAGACAAGCTCTGCTGTCCCTACACGCACGATTAGCGATTGTACCAAGGGCTTGATCCGCCCCAGGATCGGCGCGAGTAGTGTGTTGCTAGTGTCACTAGCAAACCTCAGGCGGAGGACTTGTAGAGCTGGGTGAATATACTGCGACCTTATTGAAAGGCTACGTTCCAGGTACCGCAGCACCTGCAACGCTCCGTTATCGACGATAAGGATATCTATGAAGCGTAAGTTCTGCAATTGAGGACATAGCATCCGTTTCGATGTGGATGATTCGGCACGGGCGCGCAAGGCGTCGAGAAAGCCAGTGGTCCAGGTACCACTGACCTCTATGCTCGTTAGGGACGGTAGAGCCCTCATGACTGCTCTCCAGCTCTCGTTCACAGGTGTCGCAGAATGATACGAAGAGGTTGCCCGGAGATGGACGACGTGCGAGAGGAGATGAGCGATAGAAGGAAGGTTGTTGAGAATGTGAAGTAGTTCGGCTGGAGCGAAAACAAATCGCACGGACGACTGGCAATGTGGAGCTTCATTTGAAAGAGCAATGGCCGTATGAGAAATTGTTAGCGAGCGCTTGGTCGGCTGCCTGTCGCGGGTCTGCGGCGGTACGAGCGGACCCAACAAAGAGGGGTCGGCTGGTAGGACAGTGGCGAGGTCTCGCACACCAAGAGAATGAATGAGGATGTTGGTGGTTGGCGGCACTGAGAGATGGGACAGAATCTGTTGGACCACGCCCTGTCTATCACATCCCACCTCCAACCAACGCAGACGAGACAGCTCAACAATTTTGAGTGACGCATCAATGGAGGTTGTCGCAGAGCCGTCAAACGAGATGGCTGCCAATACCACGAGATGCTCGAGGTCCGGACAGTTCTGCAGCAGGAAAAGCACCTGTGGAAGTGTGGGACGAGTCCCCCGAGGAAGACGAGAAAGGGCCAGCTTCTTCAAATTAAGCAAGGAAGAGCTGAGTTGTGGCCACGCCGTAAATGAGGTACTGTCGAGACAAAGTTTGCGGATTCTAGTCTCGCTGAAGTCAACAAAGAGTGTCGCAAACATCGCGGCCGAAGGATCGATGCCGGTGGAAATTGATGACCAGCCGGGGGTTTCATACCGGATATGTGAGATTACTTCTCGTACGACCGTCTGATAAGCCACAAGGTAGATGCACTCTAATCGTCGCAATTGACGAAGGAGTGAATATGCAGCTTGGGACGGAACGACAGGCAGGTCAATATCACGAGGCTGTATGAAGACAGCTCGGATTGCGAGTCCGCCTGAGCGAGCGCAAAACAATTGGCCGATTGATGGTCGCCGGAGGTCGACCAGCGTCCAAAACGTGGGCGACTCTGTCGTGAGAGTTCGCCAATGTCTGCAGGCATGAGACATTGCTAAGGCCTGTGTAATGCGGGTAGTAGAATATATATTGCTATCCAAGCTTCGTTCGAGGATTGTTAGCAAGAGCTCTCCCGGCAACCGATGAATGGGAGGTAGAGTAGCGGTGCGGTTCATGCTGAGGCTGACGATAGGCGCAACGTGGCCTTGAGAAAGGGATCCGCGTGCCTCGTACGAAGTTCTGCTGAGTCTCCGCGACCTAAACCAACACACAATGAGGATGACACTTCCGTCGACCCATAAATTTAGCACACACCATGGACAGCTCTGAGGATGTGAGGAGAGATGCGCGAGAGGGCATTACCAGCTTTGCGAGTTTTGTTCATTGTGCTAATCAATCATCTATGGGATACGGAACTTCGGGCGGCATCCTACCGATGCATCACGTCGAAACTTGTCACAAGTCTGGCGACTGGTTTTCTCTCGGCCTCAGTCACCTGTGGCATCCCGCCGCGTATGATCTTGAGAAGACGAGTCCAGGTCGGGTCTCATCTCCGCTGTAGCCGACCAGCCTCACCAGGAGTGATTGCCTTCCACGGAAAAGACAGCGACGAAGTTTGTCCCGAAACCGTATCAGCTTTTCCATCTATCAATGACGCTTAATATCAGGTACTGTACTGGTCAATGATTGTGGCACAGGAGATGACGGATGCGCTCAAACAGAGTCAGTGTTCGGTCTTCCTCCGACTCGATGACCGTTTCACGTAATTATACACTCCGAACGTGATTACATCGCTCGCCATGACAGCCGCAGCTTAAAATATTTGAGTAACCTGTGCTGGCGACTAAATTATAGCGACTGACCAAAATATGGCCGAGGTTTTAAACGCGGGAGCTTGGCAGCGGCCGCGCGCGACGCGACGACAACGAAGTCACGTGGGGGTGACGGAAAGGGACGCGGTCATCGCGTCGCCGTCGCGTACTTCCCATCACCAGCTCTGCTTTCGCCGCGTAGCTCGGCTGATGCTATCCAACATACCACAATGAGAGGCTTACTGTATGCTTTAATTTCTCTCCTCTTTTCTCTATGCTCTGTCGCACTTGATGCCAGCGTGGTACATCTACTCGGCCCGCAAGGGGTCAATCTCTGGAAACTAGATGCTGCAAGACGAGCACGCTCCACGAACCATCCGCACGGTCTCGTTGTGCAACAGGCAAACGACTTTTCCGAATATTCAGATGCTCCCGTCGAATTCCCTGAACGATGGTTCACTCAGCCTTTGGATCACTTCTCCAATTCGTCTCACACGTTCGAACAACGTTATTGGATTAACACTCGTCATTATAAGCCCGGTTCTGATGGGCCGGTAATTATCCTTGATGGTGGCGAAACATCTGGCAAAGATAGGATACCGTTCTTGGACACTGGCATTGTCGAGATCCTCGCCGGAGCAACGGGGGGCGTGGGAGTGGTCCTAGAACACAGGTTAGCAATAACTCGGTGTCTTTTTAGTGTCCTTAACCGGCGTCAACGATCAGATACTATGGTATTAGTCCTTTCAGAAAGCATCTATGACATGCTTATCATGATGCAGGATCATCTATGCCTGTGGAGAACCTGACTACAGACTCTTTGCGGTATGATCAAATATCATTCTGGAGACGACCATCTTAACTCCCACATAGATGGCTTAACAATGATCAAGCTGCAGCGGATTCCGCAAACTTCATGGCGAATGTCCAGTTCCAGGGTATCGATGAGGACCTCACTGCTCCGAACACTCCCTGGATATACTATGGTGTCCGTATGCTGAACGCCAGTCTTCCAGCTGTCAGTATTAAAATTTCCGCATTGTTACCTCAGGGCTCTTATGCCGGTGCACGTGCGGCTCACATGAAGATTCTCTACCCAAAGCTTGTCTATGGTGCTATCGCCTCGAGTGGTATTGTCAAGTCTTGCTCACGTATAAAGTACTATTTGTTGATACAAGCCAGGTGTCACTCATGCTTCCATCGTGAACTGGGAATACACGGATATAATCCGCCGGGCAGCAGACCCGGAATGCTCGTCCAACCTGCAGCGTGCCGTAGAATTCATCGACACCATACTGTCAGTGCCCCCTCTGCGAACTCCCCTCAAACGGTTGTTTGGCTTGGCTGAGTTGGAGCATGATGATGACTTCGCGTCCGTACTTGAGGTAGTCCAGCTGCTATCGATGCCGGTTACCCTGCTAATACCTATTGTATCAGAGTCCCTTAGGATACTGGCAGGGAAAGAACTGGGACCCCATCATCAACAGCAATGGGTTTGATATATTCTGCGCCGCGTTGAACAAATCGCTGCGAGGAGACGATATTTCATTTGGGGAAACAACACATGACGAGAACGCACACGTGCTCTTGCTCCCTGGAGGGCTAAGTGTACCTTTGGTGGTGTATAACTATGCGCAGTACGTTAAGGAGGTTTGTGCTTGTGCCATTCAGCGACCGTATTGCAGTTGACCCAGTACTGGCCAGCATTTCGTTTCGAGGTGTCCGGAGGACCTCACCGTTGAAGAAGTATGTAGACTTGCCGAGTGCTGCCGGTAATACTCATGCGTCCATCCACAGTGCTTTGGGACATACGACGATATCAAGTTCCAGGGTGCTTCATTGGATGAAACATGGAGATTATGGCTGTTCCAGGTCTGCACTGAATGGGGCTATTTTACAGTGAGTATGCTTACCCTCCACAAAATGGACTTTTCGTTTACAGGCACGTAGACCGCTCCGCCCTCGTATGTCGCACGTATCATCTCCAACCGCATCACGTTGGAATATGAGTCGAAGATCTGCCGACAGGTATGCAGTGACAGCGTCGCTACTCAGCTCATTAGGCGTTGCTGTCCTTCTTGCTGACTATGGCTTCAGGCGTTTGCCCCAGGGAAACATTTCATTGTTCCACAAATGCCGAATGTCACTGCTGTAAACATTCTGGGCGACTTCTACATCGCCGCTGATCGGCTGGCGATCATCGATGGTGAAGGTGCGCAATACGACGTTGCTGGAGCTGTGACAATTAGCTGAAGTTGCGGTGCAGTTGATCCGTGGAGGCCTGACACACCTCACAGCGAGTATGCTCCGGACCGTCTTGACACGATACTACGTCCCTTCAAGCTCATCCCTGGTGTGCCCCGACGATTATATGTGACAGTTCATGCTCTAACTTTTTTTCCTACGCAGGCGGTGTGCACCATTATGATGAGTATGGTTTGCGAGATATCTCGGCCGAGCCACCGGAAATCGAGCAGATCCACCTGGAGATGATCGAGTTTGTCAAGGAGTGGTTGAAGGACTGGGAGCCGCCTAAGCGTTCTTGATTCGCATCGTTGCTTATGTGTTTGCTTGAATCTACGGACAGTATGGCAAGATCTATGGATGCTTTCATGAGTATTGGAACGTATTGTCGTAGCTACTATTCAGAATGCTTCGTTTGACGACTTCGCAGTGTGAGGCTCTCGATTCGTCGTGGGTCTTCCGGAGATGAGGAGAAGTGTGCCACAAACACGATTTCGCTTGGCGCATGCGCCTCTCGCGCCAACATCGCCCAGACCGCCAGTCTTACTCCGGCTCCACGTTACCTGACCTATCGCCTTCCGACCACAACTTCTACTAGCAGGACATTGACAAGTACTTCCAATGGGCGCTGAGCAGTCTGCCATATATGACGGCCCTCCGGAGATCCTCGAGGCCAGGAACCTCCCGTCGGTGGCCAAGTACATGAAATCGGAAGAATGTAAGAACATCTTCATCATGGTGAGTCTTTGGCGCCGTCCTGCGCTCACGATCGAGCGATGATTTGGACGATCGAATTGCGGATCTTTTCAGCTCGGTGCAGGTAAGGTTGAGAAGGTCGATTGTCTGCATGTTTTGATGCTCATGAATACCAAGGCGTCAGCACGTCTGCTGGGATACCGGACTTCCGGTCGCCAGAGACAGGTACGTCGCCGTTGTCTCGTGTGCACGCGATGCAACAGCTGATGATGACGACGATTGATGTCAGGACTATACGTGAGCAGTTGTGCAGCTGCTTCAGACACGTCGTCCGAATTATGACCGTCTCCGCAGGCAAACCTTGCCCGTCTCAATCTCCCCTACCCTGAAGCGGTCTTTGAGATCAGCTTCTTCCGCGAGGATCCCATCCCTTGTATGTCTTGAAAGCAATCATCTTACGAAGAACTGATTCCGATATGCTACACATCTAGTTTACACGCTTGCCCGCGAACTCCTGCCCGGGCGTTTCCGGCCAACGCCGACCCACTCATTCGTCCGCCTCCTCGCCGACCATGGGCTCCTGCACACATGCTTCACGCAGAACATAGACACGCTAGAGCGGCGCGCTGGGGTCCCAGCCCATAAGATCGTAGAGGCTCATGGCAGCTTTGCTAGCCAGAGGTGCATAGACTGCCGGACAGAGTACGACGGCGAGAAGATGCGAGAATGCCTCAGGGCTGGCACCATCGCACGATGCCCGGAGTGCGAGGGATTGGTCAAACCGGACATCGTCTTCTTCGGCGAGTCTGTAAGTAGTGCTGCCCATCCTCGCAAGGAGTCCCCCGAAACTGACACGAAGTTTGCACTTCAGCTGCCAGAGCATTTCCACCAGGCCGTCCCGCAACTGCGAAAAGCTGATATGCTTTTCGTCATTGGGACTTCATTGACTGTCCAGCCGTTTGCCTCCCTCGCATCGATAGCCCCTGCGCACTGCCCACGAGTACTCATCAACCTCGACCATGTGGGCGACTTTGGCAGTAGGCCTGATGACGTCATCTGCCTGGGCAAGTGCGACCACGTTGTTCGCGAGTTGTGCAAGGAGCTCGGCTGGGAAGAGGAGCTCGATGCAGCGTGGAAGGAGACCGAGAATAGCGTAGTCGAGTTTGATGTAGAACATCCGGCGCCCGTCGGGCCTGAGCAATCGGACGAGAAAGAGGAGGAACAATTGGAAGAGGAGGTGGAGGAGATCACGGAGAGGCTGGAGAGGGTGCTGGGGTCGCGATACATTCCTGTTGCAGCAGGAGAGGATGATTGGCCAGAGAGCGACTCACTGATCGCGACTGGAGAGGAGGTTCCGGTGACGGAGGACGAGCCTCAGCCTAGGAAAGCGGACGACAATGCTGTTCCTGAGACAGAGGGTGAAGTCAAACAGGCTAAAGAGGAGCTCTAGAGAATGTTAGAGTAGAGCGACTATCGTAGGTCGTGATTGTAGGGTTCTGCGTGCACGTTGGATATATACATATACATAGTCATAACTCTTATGACCCGCGCATCCTGCACATGTGATGTGGTCCGTTTAGGCGCAAGCTACAAGTCGTTGTCTCGGAGGTGCTGTATAACGAACTTCGCCGCTTGGTCGAATAGCCCTCCGTGGCTGCCGTATGTGTTCTCAGCGCCCGGTTGGTAGTCGAAGGAATGTTCCATGCCGTCGATCATAACCAAGTTCGTCTCTACTCCTGCATCCTGCAGCATTGCGTGCAAGTGTATTGATTCGGCCGGAAGAATCGCCGAGTCTATCGAACCGTGAACGAGCAGCGTCGGTGGCCACGAAGATGATATATTCAAGTGAGGAAATAGCGGTAGGTGCTCTCGGGGAATGACAGACTCAATGCCCGTAGGAGGCTGATGGATGTCTGGAACCGCATCCTCTTGCCCCTGTGCCGCTTTGCGCTCTCCTGCAGTAGAACTTCGCAGCATTTTGCTGAGGCTTAATTCGTGACATCCAGTGTAGTAGTCCAAAAATACGCCAAGTTGAAGATACAGTCTAGCAAGAAGCATACGAGGGTTTGCAGGATAGCCAGGAGTAGGCGACGTCAGAGGGTGATATGCTAACGCGGAGTCTGAGATTGGGGAAAGCTGACGGCAATCGGGATAGAGATACTCAGAGAAGTGCGTTGGATCAAGCAGCTCACGGCCTCGGAAGAATACCGATGACTTGGGGTAATAATAATGAGGCGTCTGTATTCGAAACATTCTCAGTGTCGTCAGAACCAGCAGCCAGTGCGTATACGGACCAGCATCATTCCACCCATGCCGTACATTGACAGGACCGCCTTCGGTCTCGGTCGGGCATGTATGGCAGCGAGATAAGCGCAAAGTCCACCAGAGCTAGTGCCCGCGACGGCAATTGAATCAACGGCGACTCGAATCTTGGTGACCGGGGATACACTTTCAGATAATGACTGGTTGAGTTTGTGCGCGACAAAATCTATCACATCCTTGATGTCCGCTAGTAGATCGTGTCCAGTTGAAGGAGGCAAGAGGCGGTAGTCAGCAGAGATGAAGATGCAGTCTGCAGATGTAACGCGTCCTTGACACAAAATGGTTAGAAACTCTGAAACCAGATGCCGCAAACACACAATCGAGGCGAGCGACACGCATAACAGGCACTGCACTCACGATATAGCCAATGTGGGAACCAGCTTCGTCTGTTTCCGACGGTGAGGCCCCCGCCATGAAAGTAGACGAGTGCAGACGAATAGCAGACCAAGCCAGACTGATCAACTTCGTTGGGCAGATAGACATCCAGGAGCAGAGGTAGTCCGTCCACATGCTTGTAGATCAGAGTGATTGGTACGGGTGACTGTGAATCGCCAGGCATCATCACAAGCCATGCAGGACTTTCTATCAATGGTATGTGCGGGCTTATAGCGGTGGTGGGATGTCAGAGGTTTCGAGGGTCGTCGAGCTCGAAGATTGTGATCGTCACTGGCGCGCGTGACCGACGCGACCGTTCTCAGCGTTCCTCCCGCCACCGCCGCGTGCAGTTGTGAAGTTTGAACCAGCACCTCCATGCCGCGCAGAGAAGGTCAAAGTTGTCTCTTGGATGGCTACTGAAGCTCTGCAGCGTCAAATACAGGCCAAGTGGGAAGCCTCCTTCTCCCGCTTGAACCGTGACCAACCCGGCATCTCAGGATTGTTGACTACCAGTCAGGTCATTTCGACGACCTTGCAGGTCTTATCCGAATAGCTCACCAGCTCCTCATAGGCATGGGAATATATCGCCGAACTTCTGCGTCCCCGAAGTCTGAATGACCCGTCCCCGAGAAGAGAAATCGGTAAATAGGGCCGGGTTTGAGCTGCTTGGAGGAAATTGACAAGGGCTGTTTCCTTAGACGTTCAGCGAGTGAAATCGGTCATTGACTTCTTGACAAGATGCAAACTGACTCCTTCGGTAGTGGAGAACTTCCTCGGTGAGCGATCTGTGAACCGTAGACGGCCGCAGCCCTGCTCACCGCGTTGGGGGAGGGCAGATGAAATGCGAAAGCAACAACACCTTATTACTCGTGATGTTCATGAATATATGATTCAATATGAGGTGCGCCACGTAAATCGTACTGATCGGGCAACCACGTTGACTGTATTCAAGAGAACAACAGACATTCAGTTTATTGCGCGTCTCATCTTTCGCCTCTCACGGTGGCACAAGGCATGGGAGCCGGCAATAGAGTAAGTGATCATCACAGATACAATTTCACCGCTAAACGTAGGTTTGTCGATAGACTTGGACAAACAACCATCACAATGTTCAACTCGACCTTTCAAACGCACGTCTTCTCAATCCTGCCTCCTCCTTTCTTCACGGGATTCAAAGAAGTTGTGAAGTTTACTCTTACGCTCGCTGATATGGATGCCGTGCCAGGCTGGATGACCGAAGCTACCCCCGATAACAACGGCCACTCCGAGCTATCTTCCAGACCAGACTATTCTTTCTGGATGGCATGCCAGCGAATTGGCTTGTTAGACAGGTATGAATCGCTCGTGTCCAGCATTCTCTACGAGCAAATCGAAGCCCATGTATGGGATACGTGCACTGGAAAGTGGGGCGAACCGGTGCTGAAAGATCTGCGCCAATGGATGAACGATGAACTCAAGCCTTGGATGATGTTGCCATTTGGGAAGGGTGCCAAGGGTGGTCAGTTCTTTTTGAAAAAGGAAGGGTACGCCCATCTCAGGTGCTTTCACGTCCTAGCGGATGAGTCTCGGTCGGCAATACATGGTATGGGGTCAAGATGCGACTTTCACATTTGCAAGACTTTGTGCGAGTTACGGTGAGTCTATGACAGTTTTTTCATCGTCCATGTCCGTACCCGGGCTCACTCGTGCAATAGCATCAGAGAGATATTCGACATTATTATTGACTATCCAGATTCTATTGGTGCTCTGTTGGACCTTAAGGCCGGTATACTCATAATAGGCCACAGAGATGGTAGAGCTGATGTGTTGAATGCCGCATAGGAATGTCTGAATCGTGTCGATCAACGCGACCAATTAGTTCAAGCCCTCCGCAAAGCGTAAGTGAAACAATTGTACCGCTGGCGATTACATTACGTGTGACGCTCCACGACAGCAACAAGAAACGACTACTTCACCCTGGCGCGGACACCAAGGACATTCTGACTCAATACGTATCGATCATCCGATGTCTTCGCATCTTGGATCCACCAGGGGTGCTTCTGTTCAAAGTAGCCGATCCCATCCGTCGCTACCTGCGGTGCGCTCTATTGCCTTTGCTGCACTCCTGCTGTAGTAGCTGACCGTGCAACCAGAGAGCGACCAGATACGATACGCTGCATCGTTGCGAGTCTTGTCGGGGATGGCGAGAGTGGCGACTCGCTAGTGGATGAGAACGAGCCTATTCAGCCTTTGCAGCAAGCACAGGTGGAGGATTACACCGATCCTAGCTGGGAGCCGGAACCTATTGATGCTGGGCCTGGTTTGTCTTCATTGAACTGTGCTCGTTCTTGGACAGACCATTGAACATGGCCATCTTTTCTAGATTTCCGCAGCAACAAACCCGGCGATGTTATCAGCACACTCGTCAGCATCTATGACTCCAAGGACCTCTTCGTCAAGGAATTGCAAGTCTTACTCGCTCAGCGACTCTTGGCGATCACTGATGGGAACTTTGAGCGCGAGGTGAGCGTCATTGTTTTGATGTCGGGTCGCATGGTCTGACGAGCAAGGACCACAGCGGCGTAACATAGAGATCCTCAAGATCCGCTTCGGTGAGGCCGCACTGCAAGTCTGCGAGGTCATGTTGAGAGACATGACGGATTCCAAGCGCATAGACCAGCATGTGCAGTCTCAGAAGAATGTGAGTTCGCTCTTCAATGTTTCATGCGCATCATGAGGTTTACCGTGCACATTCCAGCTGGTTCTCCATCCAACTATCATATCGCGCCACTTCTGGCCACCGTTGCAAGCAGGCAAGTTCGTCATGCCAGGACAATTCAAACAGTACGTTAGCGCTCTGGATGTCTCGAGCGACAATTGTGACTTGTATCTAAGGGTTCAGGACGAATATGCGAAAGAATTCATGGCATTCAAGCCCGACAAGAAGCTGCGCTGGCTGCCGCACCTAGGCACGATACACCTCCAGCTCGAGCTGGAAGATCGCACAATATCTGCCGACGTCCCGCCTCTCGAGGCTGCCTTCATTGAGCTGTTCTCTCAGAAAGGTATCGTTGTCCGACGGCAGTCAGGGAGATAGATGTTGAGTTCCGGCAACTCTAACAGACAGCTGGACTGTTGACGAGCTGATCGCTCAAGTGGGCTCGGTCGAACGAGCCGCGGCTTTGAAAGCGCTCGCGACATGGGTCGACCTAGGAGTGCTTAAAGATAGAGGAGGCGGTAACTACATTCTGTCAGAAATCGCAGAGGACATAGCGGAGCCAGGCGCGAAGACATTGCCTGCAAGACCTGGTGTGTTGGTTTACATTTCCTCCTTTGCGTGTCTTAACCCGAGTATTGCAGCACAAATAGTCGAAGACATACCTGCAGTCACAAGCGTGCAGCAACAGCAGGCGGAGCAGATGCAGGTCTTCTGGAGGGTAGGTGTGCTTGACCTAAGAGCTTCAAACGGTTGGCTTACGGCAAACGTGGGATACAGTTCATCGAGGGTATGCTCACCAACTTGGGAACACTGCCTTTGGATCGTATACAGACGATGCTCAAGTTTGCTCCGGGATACGACCGGACTATCGAGCAACTTGGGGCGTTTATGGAAGCTGCGAGGAGGGAAGGTCTTGTAACTGTAAAGGATGGCATGTGGAAGCTGAACAGACATTAACTTCTTCGTGCTGGAAGAGACGGGTGTCCTTCTGAGGTCTCGTCAGTAACAAGCTGATAGGTGAATGACGATTGTACATCAGTAATGACCGTGACGGATGCAAGTCCTGAGCATCCACCTGAGCATCCAACAGAACGGCTACGACGTATGTGGAGGAAGGTCGAAAGTTAGTTGACACCGATGGCGAACTCTGTTGTGAAAGTTTCTACGTGCACTATGGACAAATGCATCGTTGCGATCTTCTAGTGACGGTCCATCATCGACATCGTTAACTTCATGCCGATTCGATGTCTATATATCCGTAGCATTCGGAAAGTCTGTAAATGGCACAAAGCAGACTTTGAGTGCAATTTGAGTGAGTCGGACAACTTTGATGCTCAACACTCACACTATGACCTCTCCGACCCTCATTTTACTAAAGCACAGCTGTGTATGGCCGCCCACATGTCGATAAGACCGCGACTAGTGGTAAAGGATCAAACTAAATTTGTTAAAAACGTTTCAGCATACTAAATTACTTCAAAATGACCTTATGTCTGCAGTGTCACACTGCTACTAGTAGTCACGGACTCTGTACTACTATCAGTGGCCCCACAATGCAATTGCAACCCTAATGCAATTCACGTCTTTCCTGTCTTAATAACGTGTTCAAAAATCTGAAAAATTCATGCAATGTACATGCAAGTATACAGTTAAGGCTGCCTATTCAGATTTTTGACATTGCATGTTGCTGGCATATGGTACAAGTAGTTACAGTGAAGAGCCCCATTTTGATGCTTTCCCGAGGCTCGCTTGCTCGCATAGCTGATCATGGTCTCATGAGGCTCTCAGGTAGACTTCGTATATATGTGAACTCTATGTTGACAGAAGCCGACGTATATTGCGCAAGCCCTGCATTTTCTGGGAGGAGTGCAAGGAGTGAGTGGCTGCCAGAACGAGAAACATACCCAAATAAGGAAGGTTCAGAAGGTCCATTCGAGCTGAGAATGGCGGAGCTGCGTCGGAGAACATCCATTTTCAGTGGTGCCGGACCGGACTGTCAAAATGAACACGTTCCCACACGGTGGCTGATGATTCTTGACAATTGCATTGGTGTTGCGACTGGAAGTCATCCTCAGATTCATCCACTTCGCATCCTGTTCACTCACAAATATTCATCAGTGTTCTCAAGATCCAGTCTTTGTAAGAATAAAATCTCCGAGGGGGTCTGCTCACTGACAGCAGAATAGGATGCGAAACTCTGAAAAAATTGCATTAGTGGGCCAGTGATAGTACACACAGCGTGCATACCAATATTTTTCCACTGAAGAAACCGTGAAAATATAGTAAAATAATATAAAGCCCTGCTTTGGAAAATGTTAAAAACTATTATGTAAATTGTTCCATATTTGGGTAGCATATCAATGATGGAGGAAGCTTCAATTTCTTCACCATTTTTCCAAATCAAAGCTTAATATGTTTTCAGAGTTTCTCTACTGTTTTCCAATGGAAAAATGTTGCTATGCACGCTGTGACATGCTGTTGGGTTCATCATGCGCTTTTGAAATTTGTATACTGGCCTCGCTCCTCCTCGCTCTCGTCGTTTAACTGGCATTACGGTGATCACAAACATAATTAACACGTCGCAGCGTTACCTCGGAAGTACCTTGGTGGAATGTCGCACATCGCCATATCACCTCAGCCTGCGACAAGGACATCCGGAGCGCTCCCGCGGAGGTTGAAGGAATTGTCTCGTCTGCCCACGGGAGACCACCTGCGGCCCGTGCAGGTCAAATGATCCAACGCTCAGCAAAGCAAGAACAGCTCCATCTGTGTTGACCACTTCCACCTACTGCGTTGTGACCGTGCATATTACCTGCTTTGAGGCAGGTGACTATAGAAGCATATGCGGACGGGCTCCCGCACACTCACTCTCTTCGTCGATCGTGGGAGAAGGCTTTCATCGGCGCCCGAGTCGATACTCCGCAGTCCCAGCAGATAGGAAACGGAGTCTCTACCTGGAAAATATAAAGTAGGACACCATGAAGAAACTGGGCCGGCATAATCTACGTCTCAAAACCTGAGCGTGTCATGAAACGCGTTTTTGCTTCTCTCTGTGGACTTATCGTTGTGATACTCGTCTCAACGAGGCTTGCTAATGCGGGATCGATATATCCTGACACGGACGTAGTGATCATATCCAGCAATGATCTGAACCCCTCGAACCCAAATCGTGCAAGCGCACTGTATCTAAAGAGAGGCTTCAACTGCTCGCAGGCGTACGAGGCATGCTTTCAGCTACGGGAGACTCTGCTTCCTGCACCTGGCAGCACCGGCTTGACTGCAGTAAACCTGTCCGTGGCGCTCGTGTCCGAGAAGCATGGTGCTGCTTTGGACGCAACTCAGCAGATGTGGATTGCTGGAGACGGTGAGTGGCCGTAACCCGCCATCTTGCAAATGGCTCTGTGTTCACTTTGCTAGAGCAGCTTCGGGAACGTGCAACGTGTTCACACCAAGTTACCAGTATTCCGAGATGGGGTACCAGCCGGAAGCTGCTGTCAATCCGAACGAGCTTCTACCAGTTCTATGCACGAATTCCGCGCCGATCACCCGGTCGAATGTCACCTCTTATGACACTTCGCGCCAGATACAGCTATCCACACCTTCAGCTGGCGTCTTGACTGGTTTCAGGGACAAATTCAGCTTTCGATTCCTGGGCATTAAGTACGCGGAGTCAACTGCAGCTCAAGGCAGATTCCAGCCTCCCACTGCAGTCCAAGTCGAGTCAGGAAATGAACGATCGGCTCTCGCTTATGGCACAATGTGTCCCCAGGTAAGGCAACCTCTACCGTAAAGTATGCAATTAGCTAATGCAATTTGTAGGCGCCTGACGCTGATAACGGTCATCTTCTTTACACCGACGAGGACTGCATGTATCTCAACGTGTTCTCTCCCGTTGTCAACTCCGGGACGATACATGACGAGATCGCGCCCAAGCTTCCGGTCATGTTCTTCAGTATGTGCAATTATTGAAACTTGAAAGTGGTATACATCTCTTCCTGATACGCATTCGGGCTACAGTTCACGGAGGGGGTCTCAACACAGGAGATAGTGGCCCGTTTCCCTTCAACATGACTACCAGCGGCTTTGTGGGCGACTCAATCTCAAACATCTACGATGGTACCAATCTAGTCTCGTACGGAGGGGTGGTTTTAGTCACGATCAACTACCGCCTCACTGCATTCGGGTGGTTCAACGCCTCCAACGCTGCCCTGAAAGATGCCTTGCTAGCCCTGCATTGGGTGCAAGACAACATTGAATCATTTGGCGGTGATGTAAGTCGGATCTTGTTTACTACTGAATCACTTGGAGATAACATACTAAGATGTCTATGTAAAGCCAACAAAAGTACTGATTTTTGGTGAATCCGCGGGCGGTACAATGACCAGATATCTTCTGGGAACAAATCCGCAGTATACAGAGGGACTCTTCAGTGAGTTACGGCGATTGCTTTAGCAGTTATGGGTAGTGTCATAACGTCGTGCAGGCGCTGCCATACTCGAATCGGACTTCCCTCAGAATGATCCTTTCCTGACTCCGACACTCGCGCTGAATAACTCTCTAATGCTCGCAAAATATCTTGGATGTGCGGTTAACTCGTCTACCTCCTTCACCGACGAGATGGCTCTATGCGTGCAGAACCTCTCGGCAGGCGATATCGCGATGGCTTCATACTACCTCGGCCTTTCGTGGGATATCACTGTCGATGGCGACTACGTGTTGACAGATATAGCATCAAGCATCAAGGATGGAGTCTACGCTCGTGTTCCGACGATCTGGTCGAGCAATGAATGCGAGTATTGCTACTTTCTCCCGACGAGCATCGCCCCGAACTCTTCGTCCTCTGCGTTTCCGGACAACCTGCCTCTCTTTTTCAACAGCACCCAGGCAGAGCGTATCCTGAACGCGACAGATCTGTATCCATACCAGACTGCCCCTGCGGAGGACGGCATCTCGGGTGCCGTCCTGACCCTCGCCCAGCTTATTACCGATTACGACGTCCACTGCCCAATGGTCTATCTCTCCTCACTGGAGACGAACACCACCAATCCCGGTAACTCCTACAAGGTGGAGTTTGCAACCGGCCTCGGCTCTCCGCTCACTCCTAACCCCGCAACGTGTCCTGGCCAAGTATGCCACGCAGACGAACTCTACTGGGTATTCGCTACCGCAGAGACGGACAACCTGTACCAGCCTCTCGCTGAGGGTCAGGTGGTGACAACACGGGAGGTGATCAATCGGTGGACATCGCTTGCATGGACGGGCAATCCGAATTACGAAGGTGCTGTAGTGGAGTGGGCTCCGTACGTGGGCGACAATGAGATCGTCATCAATGCGACGGCGACAGAGACATCAGAGGCATATAGGGTGGCGCAGTGCGACTTTATTCAAAGCCAATTGGGGTTGTTCTTCGGGGACCCGTGAAGCCACGCTGTATGACATTGGGCCAGAGCAAAGTCGTTGCGTGGAATGCATTGGCCAGATCTTGCAGGTGTCATATTCACTGGCGATGAGCTAAGCTATGTATGATGTGCCACTTTCCAAAAAAAGCATTGGCGTCCAGCTCAACACTCTGCAATCGAAATGATGATGTAGACTCTACGTTGTTGTACATACGATTCGGATGGGATGAATTTATATTTGTCGACTTTGGCCGTCCACCACTAATCCGTCCTCGATCTAAATAGTAAGACCATTTTATTCCGCCCTGAGGATGTTTCAATTTCCGCCTCGATTCGCGCTACGACAATCGTGGGTTCTTATCCAGACTCTTCCCCATCCATGCCTACGGGAGTTCAAGGGGGCGCATGTGAGAGGTGATACATCGTGTATTGTACTATCAGCCACCTCAGCCACAATTCAGCCACAATTCCATACTCCGACACATTTTAAACTCCACAATCTTATTGGCCCCCAACTCCCTACGGCGGCTGGCAGCAGGCTCCTCCCCATCTCGCTTTCAGGAGTTTGGGGGGCCCCATCCTATGGGTGGGACATTGTGCTTCATCCCGCCACCTCAGCCACATTTCAGCCACACATTTGAGACTCAGCCAATGTTAAACTCCCCACTCTTACATATTCCCCTTCAACTCCCTATAGCGGCTGGGAGAAAACATGTGTAAATAATGGAGGTCAGATGCAAGCTGCCCCAAAGTAGTAGTTGGTGCTCCCCGAGCGCTAGATTTTGTACTGACCTCATCAGGAATCAAATATTACACCTATTGCATCGTGCAAATATGCTCAGCCCATCTACCCTCAAAGGAGAGTGCTTCTGATATCTGCACACTGGCAGAGGCATTCCTTGTAAGGTCTGTCTATGACAACTTCAATGCTGCAATCAAAAACATGACACCAGGAGTCAAAAATGCAAAAGAGAGCCTCTCACATCTCACAGCTCCGGACTCAGTCACTCAACCATGGTGTCACCCTCAATGATCTGAACTGCTCTAGATAGCCATGAAAATTCTCACCATTGAATCATGCTGTTGAGTGCCATTTATTGATGCGTTGCCGTAGCAGAACTCTTGTAACCACTGTTATCAATGAATGTTAGAGTTGCCAGAAATTTATTACAGGCGCCTATCAATAATCTATTTTCTGGCCTTGCTGACTGCCAATTGGAGAAGGTCGGCCTCCGACCTTCATTATTTACACATGTCTTCTCTCAGCCACTATAGGGAGTTGGAGGGAAATAAGAGTGGGGAGTTTGAAATTAGTGATCACATCATGATCGAGCACATGGCTGATCGGTCCAGGATGTGGCACTGTATCCCTCCCTAAGATGGGGGCCCCCCAAACTCCCAAAAGCGAGATGGGGAGGAGCCTGGGCTGGCAGAAAACATGCACAAACAACAGAGTGTGGCTGCGAGTCATCTCAAATAGGCAGGTGTATATATTATGAAATGTCAATATTTTGTCCTAGGCACCGTCTTCAGCTTGTTCATCATGCTCACTGCTACTGTGCTCTGTGCTCTTGTCAAAGTGTTTGAACAACATGCTATTTTCCTATCAGAGTTGCTTATAGGTTTGCTATGTGGGCGAGGCAATGAAACTCCAAATCCTTTTATAAAAGATGTGGCTGCAAATCTTCATGAGATACTTGCTGCACTCTTGCAGCACACTCACACATTTTATACAACACAGCAATTTGCTTTTGACATCACGAAGAAGCACTGCTTTGACTCTGTGCAAAGACTGACAAATACAAAAAATGGCTGACATTTTAGTGCACTCCACACGACTGCTGATCAAATTCAGAATTTTTGAATCGAAGAAATGGCAGCCGACATGCATGATATTGCCTCAGGACTATGAAATCTAATCAGTCACCTACTCTCAGGTGGTGACCAACCAATTATTCAAAGTGATCTGAGCCTGAAAGAGTTAGACATGGAGGAGATGGAATACTGGGCAGCACTCGGTGATGATGAAGTTGAAGCTGAGGAAGAGGCAGTGGAGAAAAAGAGGATAAAGATTGTTCGCAAGTGTCAAATTGCACTGCACCACATTGTAAGGCATCACGACCATTGTATGGCATGAAGTATTCACCAAAAACATTTATAGAAAATTGTCATAATCATCTCAATGCTCATGCATTCTCAGAGTCAAAAATGTAATGCTCTGGCAGCAGTCAATGGACTTTTCTTCCATTCATGCAATACTCCTGATAAGGTCATCAAAGCTCTTGCTCATATGGGCATATCAATTTCTCCATATGCTATCGGAACTGCTGTCCATTCTCTGTCTCGGCAGAGTGCAGAGGCTATACAAGAAATTGGTCAATCATTACTAGCTGCATACAGCTATGATAACTTTGACATCAACCTGCCTATGAAGACACCGAGAATCGAAAAGTCCTCCGAGACATTGCTGCACTTGACTTCCAGTGACATACTTCTACTTGATCATGGGGTGATGAAGGAGGACCTACATTGCTCACAAGAGCTTTGGGAGAGGTCACCATTAAATTTCACATTGTCCTCAATGTCAATTCCACGCTATGATTTTGACAATCTTCTTAAATTGCATCCTGAGAGCGCACATCTATCAAACCTGACATGGTGAGGTCGATTCAATTTCTGGAAGTTCCTGCATGATCTTGTCCATTATGGATCTGAGGGCTTTCAAAAATTCATCCTGAACATCAGCAATCGATAGAAGATTGATGCCATTCCTGTGACAAAGCTTCAGCATCATCTGATGTGAGCTATGGATATCAACCAATCCTGGGTGAACAGAAACATCAAGGCAATCACAAACTTACTATCACAGAGAGGAGTTGGAGATTCAAATGAAGTGACCACACAAGGGTGGCCTGACTTGTCGGTGGTTGACTTATCTGAACATGTTGTTTTGATTCATGGTGATCTGAGTACCTGTGAAAGGGTTCAGTCCATTCTCAAGGTTCGCAGCATCGAAAAAACACCTTGGCATCATGTCACAGTGCTAGCTTGGCACAAGATCCAAGAGGATCAAAAAAGGACAGTTATGTGATGTGCTGCCCTGTCCCCCAGAACCCTAGCTGGCTGCCTAAGCCAAAGGTGACTCACTGATGAGGAGTATGCAGGAAATGTGGTGAGAAATATAATGGAGCTGTTTAGGCTCAGTGGAGTGGCTATAGTGAAGATGAGGAGAAACAATCTGAGGGTTCGTCCTCTACACCACCAATCCCATGCCACGCTGATATGCTCAACCGTGTCCTGGCCGTGAGCAGCGCTCCTAACCAAACCTCTACTGGTGGAAGGCGAACGGGGCTCTGTCCATCCGCGGTCCCTTTGGGCTATGGTCACAGAAAACTTCAGATGATAATGCAGCGACGGGCGGCCGTGAGTTGTACAGCTGTGTTGCTTGAAACAGAGTCAGATTGGTCAACAGTTCTGGATCGGTGAGTGTCGGACTTGACTGTATGGACACCTCTGACTGGGAAACAGTTGAAAGCTGGAATGTGGGGGTGTGTGGGTGTAGAATGTGACTGGTGACTTTTGTACTCGTGAACTGTGGTGGCTGAAGGTCTGGGTTGTGGCACGAGGACCTGCTATATCTCGAAAGTGCTGGTCAAGTGCTGACGACGAAGCCCTAATAGCCTCTGAACTGGGTGAAGTGCCGACAACGAAGCCCTAAGTGCTTCTGACTGAAACGAGCATCGACGATGAACTCCTGGGTACTAGCAAGGCTATGGGATCTGATGGGGACGGAATCCTGGTTTGAGACTTGTGACTGGTGGCGTGCGAGCAAAATGCGATGGCGTGAGGTACGAGAATGCGATAACGTGACTTATCTGGCTGAAAACTAAGTTGAGCTAGAGGCCACTGCTGAAAGTGCTGCCTCTCTCAGTGTTGAGAATCCCAGAGATGTAGAACGTGATCGCAATAGACGTAGATGTAGTTGGGCACGATGCCCTAGCGTAGACAAGATGAGAACTGAGCACTGCTGCATGGAGAACTCCATCCAAAACTCTCCTTTTATTCCTATGTACAGTGTAGACTATATAGTGGATCGGAAATGAGTCAGCTGAGTCGCTGAAATGCGTTTCTGATCATACATTATGTTTCCGATCCATTGAAACCTGTCGCAAAGCTCATTCCTGCCCCCTTTCCATATCATACAGTCAGGGAACTGGAAGTCCGGCCCTGTCAGGGTCCCTCAGTCTGCTACCCTATCTTCCATTCAGTTAGCGCACTTGTTCATTTTTGAGTTGCCTAACTGGTCACATTCCGCTCTCACGCTGCACGTTGTAATCGGCTATGCTTCCTCATGGCTCACTCGTTATTTTCGCGCCTCATGTTCACCTTCTGACCCCTTCATGTGGTTCCCTGTTCCCAGGCTGTCAGTAAAGTCTTTTTTGCCCACTCTGGACTGCTCCAGCTTGGTGTTTGTCTTTTCCGATCACGGCGACTCGCTATCCAATTGTGTGACAGTCAGACACAGTTTCTGGCATTTTCTGATCGCAGAATATCTCGGTGTGTATCACCTCCCCCGTTCTGAGATCTGGACCGTCCTCAGTCTGTCAGGCTTGTGTACTTTAGATAGCATGACCTCACTGTCAGTTCCCAGTCTTTTGCTGCTATGTCCCACACCGACGGTGTCTTCAGCCTTGTGGCTCGCGCTTGCGGTGTCTACTCCATTGATGGTGCTTGCATTTTGCTACTGCAGCACCTCGATAATCTCGTGTTTGCATCGCCCACTCCTGATTCTCATGCATTGGTCTGGCAGGGCTGGGCCACTTCATTTTCCGTGTACGAGGTGAGTATTTCATGTCGCGATCTGCCTTCTGACGGTTAACACTGCGGCCTTCCAGTTATGCATGACCTGTGACTATCCGAACCGTGCCAAGAGTTTGCTGCATGAGGTCAATTCGGTGTACGACTGGCTCATGCTGAATGTGAGCCCTGACTTCGATCGGATCCCAGCCATGGTTTCTTTCATCCTGAGAGGTTATTCTGAGGCTGTCGGCACTGCTGACCTGATTTGTTCATCTGCTGCGATGGCTGAGATCATGTAGGAGATCGTCGAGGCTGCAGACTGTGGCAATTTTGACAAGTTCCCTGAAAGTCGTGACCTTACTTGCGATCGCTTTCTAATGGCGTTCACGGCAAATGATGTTTTTGTGGATCAGCATGACCGTACATTCCTTGGGCAGACCATCCTGATTGGCTGCTGGTGGATAGACTATGATAGCTGACACATTCCTTCTTCTTCTGCCATGTCTCGTGCTATGGCAGAGATTCTTCAGGATGCAGTCAAGCACAAACCTGAAGTTGCTGCAGTGACTCTGCGAGTTCAGTCGCATTCGGCGTCCGTTGTGAGTATGGCATCGTCCGCAGTCACCACCAAGTCTTCTGAGTCAGATACACTGTGTGAGCACTACACCACCATCCACGCCCTCCCAAAGCATGTGCAGATCGCATTCTTGAGCTTCAGAAAGCCATGGCTGCATACCAAGGTACATTCATTCGCTTTTCACTGCCTGCGCGTCGCTTATGTTTCTGCCACCAGTGCTCTAAATGCTTGATGGATGGTGACTGCATGATTATGCCTTCCGAGCATGGTGGGCAGGCTTGCGTTCGCTGCTGAGTGTCACACCTCAAGTGCTCATTTGTCCAATCTCCCTCTAGTACACCTTCTTTTTCTTGATCGGAAATGCTGCCATCCTGACTCCACTCCTTTTGCGCTTGCAGGTGCCAAATCGCTTGTCAATATCGAGCGGATTCTTAGCAAGGTTCACGGACTGGATGTTTCCAGCACTCTGCTTGTTGAGATCTATACGCAGGAGCACGCGTGACTGGTAGTGGAGGCGACTCGCATTAGCGAGCGTCTCCAGTTCTTAAAGTCCTTTCTGGCTGCGAATGGGAAAGCCACATAGTCTAGACCTGTCTCAATTTGTCCTTCGTGTACTCTGCTTGCTCATGTACAATAGTCCGACTGTGTTTGTTTCTGATGCTGTACTGTGAATCCATTGTTTTGGGTGGCTTCGATCTGAGTTGGCTCGCGTTTTGGTCCTGCAACAGAAGTCCTGCCCGAGTCACTTGAACTGGCTTCCTGAGAAAGCTGACTGGCTCTACCATGTGGTAGAGGACGATACCACAAGGTTTTAATGATGCGTTCACATGTCTGAGCTTGGCCAGTTCAATTTTTCTGCAATGGCGCCTAACTCGCCTCTCCCTCTATCTCAATCTCTCAGCTCCTCGATGGGCAATCCCGCTACCCCATCATCTTCTCAACGTCCTGCGACTCCGGTTGCTTCTCCACGCAAGGTATGCTTGTCTTTTCAGACCCTTTGGCTTTTCACAGCACTAATTTCTCTCCTTGACACCTAGGTGACAGATGCAAAGGACGTCGTCATGGGCGTCATGTATTCCACTTGGGAGGCATTGCATGAGGCAGAGCCTCTCGATCCAGCTGTGGATTTTGAATTCCTTATACATAAGTTCCTTTCTACTCTGGTAAGTAAACACTCCATTGCACTCATCACTGGCTAACTTGCTCCCTCCGCTAGCATGATCTTCGCACTTTCTCAGATTCAGTGTCACAAACGTGCTACGCCCGATTTTGCCAAAAGGCCTAAGCACATCTTGACTCCTTTTTCCAGTGTCGCTATTGCCTTCTTTCCAACAAGGTGTCTCATACTTGCATGCTAAGTGAGTTCTGTCCTAAATGCCACAAATGTCACCACGACCACAAGGCTTGCAAGTGGTGGATGCATGATACGGTCCCTGACATTGACGATGCCAACGGATGGCTTTCGCTAAAGAAGCTGTACTGTCAAAAGGACTGGCCCCTGCCCAAGATGCCAGATGCTTCCATGATTGTGAAGGCTTCTAGTCACCAGGGTGACTATGATGAGCAGATGCATGATGCGAACACTGCTGGCAGCGATTACGCTATGGAGCTCGAGCTTCTGCTGGACACACTGATTGACGAATATGAGACTGTGATTGCTCTGGCCCCATGCCTTTATAGGCCTCCCTCCTTTCTCATTTTGTTTCTGGCTAACTGACCTTTCTCCAGGTCTGGCCCATACCTTACCCGACATGCCTGAGCCCAATGTTGAGTCTGACGCTGAAGGTGCACCCGAGGTTGTGACCGTCAAGCAAGAGAAGGACACTGCTGGGCCTTCTCGTCATAAGCTGGCGATTCCTTCGCCGCCACGTGGTATGTTCCTTTCTGCATCATTACTTCCTTGCTAATGATTTCTTTAGGTCATTTTGACAGGCCTCCCAAGTGTTCTAGCTTCGACGACTCTGACCCGGATGACATCATGATGCAGCACTTCCATGCTGGCACCATCGTTGTCCCGTCGACCAAGGTCCTCAAGCTGCACTCGTTGAAAGGCAAAGCTCGCACAAAGGGCTTCTCCAAGAATGCAGCCATGAAGCCAGAACTGACTCGCACTTCGCCAGCTGCCATCGAGCCTTCTGCAGCCAGTATGCAACTCGAGCAGATGATCGAGCTCTCAGAGAATCATGCCTTGAGGGCTCGCAAGTTGTGATATCGTTGGTGCACTGGGCTTGGGCTGGGGTGATGCAAAGTGGGCTGTCTGCATAGTCTTTCATATCTCTGTTGTGATCTCTCCTCCTCCACATGCGCGGAGCAAATGTATTAGTTAGCCTGCTTGAATAAACCGTGTGTTGAAAAACCTTGCATGAGTTTTCCCGAGTGAATCATTAAGCGAGATGTCGCAAAATATGATAGTCTTGTCCAAGTTTTTGAGTCTCCTGAGTCCATAGCCGAGTCCTTGCCTATATACAATTGAAGAATTAGTTCGAATCCCTATGCTTGTTTATTCTGACTCATTTGCATCGTACTGGTCTTGCTGTCCTTCATCTTCATCTCCTGACTCCTCGTCTTCTTGTCCTTCCTCCGGTTCCTCTTCTCCTTGGTCATCCGACTAGAGCATCTCCTTCAATCTGGTTTCTGATGCGTCCAACATTTCTTCTGCGATCACGATCTTCTTTCTTGCTGTGAATGGTACCACCCTAAATGCTGCAATCAGCTGATCCAATACTGCTCCATCCAACTCACAGAGCATGTATGCTCCTCCCCGATTGTGAAACAGCACAATATACGGCCCAATATAGTGCGGTCTCATTTTCTGATTGAGTGCTTTCTCGATCTGCGTATGCTGAACCAAGACTAGGTCTCCGCGCTTATAGTCAAAATCCTTGATCACATTCTTGTGGACTCGCTCGAATCGTCTGGCTGCTTCTCTTCTGGCTTCGTAGACTGCATTATGGATTCTTGCGTCCTGTTCACGGTGCTTCTGTAATGCTTCAGCTCGACTCGCAATTAGGTCAGTTGTTGTCACCATTCTGACTGGGGCTGGAATCAAATACATTGCTTCAACGATGTCAAGTGGTAGGACTGGATGGGTGCCTGTGACTGCGAAATAAGGTGTGCAACCCATTCGTCTCCTAACCGTTACTCTTTTCGACCAGAAAACGGAATGTGCGACTTGACTCCATTTGCGCTCCTCTCCGTTGGCAGCCTTGAATAGACCTTGCCAAATGTCGAAATGTGGTCGCTCAACGATTTCATTCGCTCATGAGTTGTAGCCACTTATCCGAATGTGCTTGATGTGATATTTCTTCTCCAGATAGGCTGCTGCTTTTATGAATGGTGCACCATTGTCAGTTACGATTTCTGATAAGGGCCCCAGTGGCAGAGTATATCCTCAAAAATCCAATCGCCGAGATTCTTCGCAGTTTCTGCTCAAAGCATACGGAACTCAGGATAGTGGGTGAGTGAACACTGACCCTGCACAATGTACTTGAATCTGTTTGAGGGCAGCATATGCATTGTGTCAATATATATCTTCGCAAATATCGGGGCTGGAATCGCAACAGTCGGTGGAATGAGAATCTGGTGAATATGTTACTTCTGACATATCACGCAAGTCTTTATGAACCAAGCAATGTCAGCTGCGACATCCGGCCACCAAAAGCATTTGCGAATCAATGATCGAGTCAGAAAAATGCCTCGATGCCCAAGTTCGTCATGTGCTCCAGCGAGGACTCGCAGTCAGTTTCCTGGTAATATGACTAGCTAGTGCGATCCTTGTCCATCCTTCCTCCAGAGATGTCCATCTCGCTTGAAGAAGTGAACCACATACTTGAGCATCCGATCATATTCCTTGTCTGAGTAATTCTCCAGTCGCTGCAACGTTTCTAGCCAGTCAGTAATTAGAATGATGAAATGGTCATTCTGTCTGGCTCGTGCGGATTGTGAAACGTCCTTGTAGCTGACTGCCTTCAGTTCCTGAGTATCTTGCATGGATTCCAATTTGTCATCACTTTGAGTCAGAAGCACAAAACCTGATTGCATGGCTGGCTCCTCCCCCGTTCTGAATAATTGACCGTCCTTGGTCGACGGCGGATTACTCGGAAGCTGTGCTCAGGGAAGTACTTGGTGCATAAAGCCGTTCATGCGATCCACCCAGTCATCAAAGTTGGTGTCCTTGATCGGCTCTGGTGGCAGGTTGCCTGGCTGTCTCGGTCGGCATGATGATCCATCTGGACCATGCATGACTCCTGGAACATGGACTAGCCGGAAATGGTACATGAGGATCACGATGACCCAATGGTTGATGCTTGCACTCGGAGCGATGTCTGGGTTCTGCAACATGCCCTTAATGTACTTGGCATCCACTTCGACTATCAGGTTGCGAATGCCGATTAGATAGACCTTGAGTGCTCGCAAAGCACGATATAGCCCGTAGAGCTCGAGCTTTGGTTGCAAAAACTTTTTCTCATGATCGTTGAGCATGATGGACCCAAATCAATTGAAAAACTGCTTTTTTGAACCGTCAGTCGCGCCTTGGCACAACTGATATCCAACTGCGATCAGAGACATGTCCACTGCAAGAATAACCAGTGCTGGTGAGTCGTAATCGATCACTCTCAAAGCTGGCGACTCCAATAATGCCTGCTTTAGGTCTTCCATCACTTTGAGCTGTGCCTCACTGAATTCGAATGGAACTCCTTTCCGAGTAAGCTGCATGAGCGAGTGGGCTCGCTTTGCGAAGTCTTTGATGAAGATCCTCACAACTCCGATCATGCCTAGGAATGCTCAAACTTCTGATAGGTCCTTGCATGGACCTCAATTTCTGACTGTCCAGACTCGTGATTCATCTGGCAATCGTCCAAATGGTGTACACCTGTGTCCGACGACCATAATTTCCTCAGCACATAGTGTTAGCTTCATTCCCGAGAAGGTACCTCCAGCATATCCATCAGCTGCACAATGCGATTGAGATTCTGGAAGTGTTCCCAGATGAATCGTCGGATGCCATTGTTGCCTGCGATCTTCTCGCAGCTTCCGTCCGAATTGAGGTATCTAGTCACTGGACCTTTAACTGGGACATCATTGATGTATGGCATGGTGAACACGGAGATTTCTGATTGCAAAATGTATGTGACGTCATTGTGAAAGATTGGCACTGAGTTGATCCACCCCATCCGAAGGGTGACCAGTCACAAAGCTCCTAATGGTGTCTGGAATGTGGTGAGGTCACGCGATGTCTCCACTATGAGTCTCTCATCATATTCAACATATAGATCGAGCATTGCTCCACAGGCACGACTGCCGAACTGCTCTGCTAGATGCTCCGGAGTCAGCGTAACTCCCGAGTGCTGAATTGTGATGGCGTTGAGTGGTTCGAGACTGTGAATGAGTCGCAGAGACTTTCTGTCCTTCTTTACAACACAGAACCATCACATTCAGTATGAGGAGTTTGAGGGCTCGTAGACTCCGACGTCCAGCTTCTTCTTGATAATCGTGCAGACTTCCTTATAAATGCCCAGTGGAATCAGAATGTTCCGCTGAACCCATGGCTGATGTGGAATGACTGGGAAATTGATTGGCGGAAAATACCGCGACTTGAATTGTCCCCACTCGGAATCACTTCAAGTGAACACCTGATTGTGCAGACACATAAATGCATGCATGAGAGCTCACTCTTTTGGCTCGCTCTTTCAGCCACAAATATCACAGCTGGTGAACCACATCCAAAGCCTCCATGCATTCCTTCATATAGCGACCGGTCAGAAAGAATGGGCCTGGTCACTCTGGAAGCTTAGGTAGATGTCACAAAGGGTCTCTAACTATTCATCAAACGATTCAGAATTGCTCGGGTACTGATGCGATTACTGGTCGAGTTTTGAGTGCCACTGGCTTGTACTTTTTCTTGGTCACAGCGTAGCCTGCTCTCGAGCTTGACTCTTGATCGCAACCTTGGCCTATGATCATCTGTAGCAGTCGTGAAGTCTGAGGTGACTGTATACAATGATGATATGGCATCGAGGACCTGTCTTGAGGCTCGCAGATAGCTTGACTGAATGGAAATGGGATCAGAAGATACAACTGGGGAATAGGCTGATATACAGTGACCCACAAAACTGTTGATAAGATTGCTCACTTCGACTTGTATAGTGAATATCTTCTCAACCAATGGGTGAAGCTAGGCACACAAAACTTCGGACCTTACAAAGTACTTCAGAAGCTAGGCCCAGTCACATTCAAACTGGAACTGTCTAAGCAAATGAAGGTCCACCCGGTCTTCCATGCTAGCAAGTTGATCATGTATCACCAAGACACGGTCGCACACCATGAACCCTCAAAGGCCCCAGCTATAGAAATCGAAGGAGAACCAGAATTCGAAGTGGAAGAAATACTAGACTCAAAGGTAGTAAGGGGAAGGGTCCAATACCTCATCAAATGGAAAGGCTATGACCATTCCGACAACACATGGGAACCCTGAACAAATCTTACCAACACCGATGAGCTTCTTCAGACATTCCACCAGCAACACCCAGATGCAGCCAGAGCACCAATCAGGGTTGTCACTTTTGGTGGAAAATGCTTCAAACTATCCTCATACGAAGTTGCACCAATATCCACTCACAGTATCAACATGTCCGACCACCCGGACGAGTTCTTCCTATATCATAAGATGACAGATCTTGCCAAATCACCAAAAAAATCCTCAAATGAAGCAGCAGGATGGGATATTTATGCAGCAGAAATGCATGAAATCCCCCGGCATTCACGAGCTGTGGTAGGAACGGGAGTCGCAATTGACCCTCTCAAACATACCTATACATGAATAGCTCCACGCAGTGGACTGGCTGCATGAGGAATTGATGTGGGCGCAGGAGTTGTCGATCCAGACTACATGGGAGAACTCAAGGTCGTACTGATCAACACAACAGATTTCGTATTTTCAGTCAAACCGGGAGACAGGATAGCCCAGATAGTCTTCGAGTATTACGCCGAAGGGCTTCCCTCTTGAAGCTACCAACCGTTGCGAGCAACTAAAAGGAGAAACAAAGGTTTTGGCTCCTCGGGACAATGAGCCTTGAGAGGGGGGTAGTGTCACAGATTTTCACCACAAAGTCCACACGTGACTTTTCTCACATCACAGATCACGTGCTTCACCAATATCTCATGCCACTCAGCCACAGACGTGACACATAGAGATCAGGTAATAGTCCACATCATATGTTATGGTCCACACCCGCAGATGATACGGTCGGACCTGTCTATTCCAGGATACAATAGAGGCACCCATTTGGGAACAAAGGGAACAAGGACTATTGTTATGCGTCGGCCTTCCACTTCCTATTAGTTTAGCCAGAAGCGCAGATAGGCACGATGTTCGCACACGTTACTGCGGCAACCATCGATCTTCCCACTTATTGTTCTACATCTGGACATCTCATTGTTTCATGTACGGCCATTTGCTTATACCTGTAGATAGGTAGCTTAGGTAAGATAGCCCGCTGTATGTGTATATAAGACCAGCCATGTAGAGGACGAAACTTCAGATTGTTTCTCCTCATCTACTACCAGTAGCACTCACTGAGCTCATCAGCTCCTTCATATATCTCTACCCTTTCCTGTGTCAGCCACATCGACTAGTAAGTCAACACACTCTTATGCCACATAGGGTTCAGGGGGATATTTTGGGATCAGGAGGATCAGGACAGCACGTTCCACGTGACTGCTCCTTTTAGTCTTTTGGATCTCTTGTCCAGTGTTACTGTGACACAGTCCATTTTGAGGTCACGTCCTGAGGTCCATAGTGTGTCGTTCATGTAAATTATCTGTACTCCTGTCTCAATGTACCTGTTCCACCCCGAACTTGATGTCAAATGTTAGGGGAGTGGATTCATAGTGAGGGCAGTCACGCTGGCCACCTCACATTTTTGTTGGACTCAAATATTGACTGTTCCCAGTCAATGCCACCACGCCGAAAGCTGTGCACCTGATACCCACATGATCAAAGAGGCCTAGGTGGCATGAAAGACAGGCTCGGGCAGAAACAACAAAGCTTGAGGCAAAAACTGCCTGAATTCTGCTCAGAACACACACTGCCTGGTCTGCGAAGCCATTAGCTGAACTGCTCATGAGCCAATGCACACATCATGTCCTGTGACCCTCAAATGCTTCCACAAAAATTCCCATCAGTGGTCGAAACCCCACGGCACATCCGTGAGCCGATCTGAGGAGTTCAACATGTGGTGCGTCCACCAACCCCCATTTTCCCTCCATCTCTTCACTCCCCCCATCAGTCAGGTGACTATGTCTTTTACCTCCACCCTAAATGCTTCTGCCATTCCAGTCCTAGACCATGTGTCAGTCATGCCCATCACCAACCAGTATGTCGCCTGTACCATGCAGAAGCTCACTGCCTCCATCTGCCTCGAGCACAGCACATTCTCAGAGTGGAGAATGCCACTCACCATGTGCACGATGGCATATTTCTGGACAATGTCTGAGTGCCTTGCACCTCTAATCGTGAGTCAACCCCAGACACTGAGGTGGTAATGACACTAAGCAGCAACCAGACAGTGACATCTGCAGACCATGGAGAAGGTTGCCAAGGCCTGCCAGACAACCATGCCATGGATGTGGCAGCACACTGAGGTCATATATTCGCTCACCATCGGCCATCTCCAGGGGCTTGAACAGGACCCTCACAAGCTCACTGAGGCACTGGAGCAGATTAACAGCATGAACCACTGTCTCCAGCTGATGAACATGCCTTCATCTGAGGTTTGAAACTGATGACATGTGCCCCTTGTGACATGCTCCAATACTGGGTGGAGAAGATAATTGAGCCCTGCCTGTTCCACCTGGTGTGGTGGAACTTTACCACTCAGTACCCTGCGTTGGAGCCTGAACTGTTAGCAGCCCCTTCCAGTCATTCACCTGCCTCAAGGCTGCCTGTTCAGGGCACAGTGGGTCATCCACCCACTCCAGCTCATGAAGTGTGACCACTCAGGGAAACACAGCTGACCATGGCCCAGCCAGCACGCCATCTGCAGGATGTCCCAGACAGGATCCAGGGACAAGTTCTCCATCCATCAGCAAGATGTGATGCAATACCCATTGTAAGTCATCTGCTGTCTGGGTTTGACGATGGCCACACAGAGCAGCTAATTCATGAGCTCAGTGTACACTGGCAGAAGCCATGACACTCTGCGTCGAAGAGCCACCACTCGAAATGCAGGGCATCTCGATCTTTGATGAGGCATTTCCCCAGAGAGGCAGCCTGCAGTGCACCGAGTTCAAGGATTATGGCAGTGAGGGTGACCTGCAGGCTGAGTCACACAGCTCATAGTCCATCCTGCCAACGTTCTCAATCCTCCGCAATCCCACCCTGTGATGCACCCCTGATGTCCCCTACACCACCACCCAATTTATTGCTGCTCACAGTTCCAGGTCAAGACCATCATGCAGTACAGGTCAGTGCATGGCACCTCTGCTCAGGTCAGCACCCATGCCACACAACCTCATCCATCCATTGAGGGTGCTCATTTGATTGTGACTCAGGCACTGGGTTCAGGTGATGTTGCTCACCAAGTGACCCTGTCAGTCTCCATGCATGCCCCTGCTGCCAGCACACCCACTCCTCATCTGCACCCTCACCCAGCTACCCAGCTTGCAATGGCTCAATTGGCTGGCCCCTCATCTCATGTGACAGCGGAGACCACCCATTCATCTGCTCACCTACCACCCCCTCCTTTTGTTCTTATTCTGAGTGTGGAGGGGCCTTCTCATAGGCACATCGAGATCAACCCACTGATGTGCACACCTGCTGCAGCCTACACTGAGGTGTGGCACATGGACGATCCGTGCCCAGCCTGTCACCGGGACAAGATCTTGTGTTGATGGGACACCTGCAGCCATGCATGTCAACAGTGCACCAAGGCATGCGTCAAGTGCACCCTGGCCTTCAAGAATGGTGTGCCTAACCAACCCCATAAGTTCCACTGCTTCATCGCCTTGATCATCTCATTGATAACACGGTTACCACTCAGCCACCTCAACCTTTCTTAGACTTGCTGGGGCCACCCCAGGCCTCAGTACTTGATGGGATGGCCACTGTATGAACCTGACCCAGCCACACGTGGAGAGCTCCTGGAGGCCTTGGACCCCAAGATCCACAAGCTGGATGAATACATCGAGGAGCTGGCCTGAGCTTGCAAATGAGGTCATAGCACCAAGAGCGACTTGCCCCCAAAGAAATGCACTCAGACTCATGCCCTGTCACTGCCACCCATATTGTCCACCATGCAAGCCAGCCCCTCCAAGTGCTCTCCTTCCATTGTGCAAGCTGGATCATCAGAAGTGTCAACTGTGGCCAAGGAGCCTGGATCAGCCATGCACATCCCCATGCGAGTGACAGAGAAAAGCAGCACCATGCGTCATGAGCGCACTCATACGTCATCCATATACAATGATGTCCCCTTGTCTGCACCACCTTCTGCTGTGCTTGCAGTGATGGGCCCACGCTTGCTATCCCCAGTCACTGAGTTCACCAGCAATGAAGAGACATTTCACACCCAGGGCACCATCTTCCTGTAAATGGATGGAGAACGAGTGGACGGGGGGACACGCTAACAGAGTGGGCTTCAGTTCTCTGATAGATGAGCAACTCTATTAGTATGTACCTAACGGAGCTACGGTACATTAGTATATAAGATACTTTCAGGTAGAATGACAGAAGGACTCACTGGGCTTCAGTTCTCTGATAGATGAGCAACTGAAGCTCGGGGGAAGTAGCGAAGTGAGTGAAAAGTCTGACGAATGCTAATCCCTGATAAGTACATAAAAGGAAATACCTACTGTTAAGTGAGATTGTAAGTCCATACTTAGTCTTGTCTATGCTTGCTATTCCAACACTCCCCCTCAAGCTAGGTGAAGTCCAGCATTCCAGCGAACTTTTTCACCTTCAGACAGGTCAATGCCTTGGTAAGAAGGTCAGCGACCATGTCATTGGTCGAGCAATACAAGATGACAGCGTGTTCCATATCGATAATCTCATGAATAAAATAGTAGCGAATGTCGATATGCTTCGTTCGCGCATGAAGGAGTCCGCTCTGTGCGATTGCGATTGCGCTCTGATTGTCAGCGTGCAATGGTGTCGGTTCCACCAGAGGTGAGGTGAGTTCCACGAGAATTGCACGTAGCCACAACAGCTCACATGACGCATCAGATGCAACAATATATTTGGCCTCCGTGGAAGACAGCGCGATGAGAGGCTGCTTGCACGAAGACCAGCTGACAGCTCCCCCAGAGTAGAGGAAGCTGTAGGTCGAGATCAAGTGACAGTGGGCTTGCAAGGCCCAGTCAGCATCGGTGTAGCCTATAAGACCATCGGTTGTCACACTGAACATCAAGGCCAGGTCGCGTGTGCCTTTAAGATAGTGCAGCACGCATTTTGCAGCTTCCCAATGTGCGGGCACTGGGTCAGCCATGAAGCACGCCAGAGTCAAAGTGGCGAATGTGATGTCAGGACGTGTGCCGATAGCGGCATACATTAGGCTCCCGACAAGCCTTGCATATGGCTTGTGAGCCATGTGCACACGATCCTCATCCGTGAGCTCGATGCCAAAGAGATTGACGTGAGGGTCCATCGGGACCGTGAGTGCATAAGCTTCTGTCATGCTGATGTGATCGAGTATTGTGTCGATGTACGCAGCTCGTGAGAGCGAGATAGTGCGGACAGCACGGTCGCAGTGAATCTCAAAGCCCAGTAGCCAGTGTGCTTCACCCAGGTCGACAATCTCCAACCGTGCAGCGAGCTCCCACTTGAGGCCAGTCATGGTGGCCTTCGTGTCCATGATGAGCATGCAGTCATCAACATGCACAACAATGATGATGATGATGTTGGAGACAAAGGTGAAAAACACACCAAAATCGTGCTGGCTCCGCTGTAGGCCCAGGTCGGCAAACAGCTCACAGAGCTTGATGTACCATTGCTGACCAGCTTGTTTGAGGCCGTATAGCACCTTGAGCAGCTTCCAGACGTAGTTTTCACATCTGGGAACTTCGAAACCTCATGGTTGCTTCATGTAGATCGTCTCGTCGAGCTCGCCATTCAGGTAAGCATTTTTGAAGTTGATTTGATGGAGTTCCCAGTCGTTGGCAGTGGCGAGTGTAAGTGCGAGCTGTAGCGACACAAGGCTTGCTGTCGGTGATGCTGTCTGGTCGAAGTCAATGCCCGGGATCTGCAAGAACCCTTGCATGCATAGGCGTGCCTTGTAATTCGCAATCTCATTGTTCTCGTCATGTTTCCTGCGAAGTGACCATACTGATCTGACAACGTGCACGTTCTCCAGCTTCTCGACAAGCTCGTATGTTCTCATCACCTCAATCTTCACCAGCTCCTCCTGCATCACCTCTCGCCATTGCTCACATTCCGGCCCGGCCATCGCCTCTCAGTACAATGGAGTGTCACCGGCCATGGCCGTCAGAGCATAGAGGGTCTTCCCCTCATCATCGTATTCATCCTCCAGCTGATCCTGCACGAGCTTCGCGTGCTCGAGAATGCTCCTCGGAACGCGCTGTGCACCGCATCCACCGATGGTGCCAGTACCTGACTGTAAGTCACATATCCATTGAGATGGCTGACGCACACATTTAGAACATCCGGCTCCTGCGACGGGCATGCTCTCTGGCTTGATCGCCATGCTCTCTGGCTGCGGCAGCTCTGCGTTCGCGTTTATCGACTCGTTTGGGACAGTTGCAGGTGGTTGGACAGCATTGAATGGTACGATGGTCATGGCTGATGTGGAGGTCGATGGAGTTTAGAGTGAAGTGCCCGTAGGTGCATTTTGGTCACTTTTGTCCTTGTTTGGCTCTCCCTCAGGCTGAACGTTGATGGAGATGGGTGCATTTTCCTCGACGAAATGCACATCGCGTTCGACGGATACCTTGCGCTTGTCAGCCCAGTACACGCGGTGGCCCTTGCTGTGCACATCAAATCCAACCCAGCAGCCTGGATGCGACTTCAGATCGAGCTTCAAGGCTGTGTCAACGCGCACCCATACAGTGCATCCAGAACATGGTAGGGGGTCGAGATGGGGTTTCTCACCGGTAGCGTGTTCATGCAGATTTGACCCAGGGATGCTGTGTGTTATCGTGTGGTTGCGAAGCCACACGGTGTGCATGGCGGACTCAGCCCATAGGAATTTGGGGAGGTCCGCATCGAAGAGTAGTGCACAGAAGTGCTCGGCAAGCATACAGTTAATGCATTCAGCTTTGCCATTCTCCTGCGGGGAGTCATGCATGGTCCGGCGATGGTGCATACCTTCGCTCTTCAGGTAAGTCTGGAACTCTGTACTCATATACTCCCCTCCATTATTACTCTGCAGCTCCTTGATGGCCTTGACACCTCGGTGAGTTTTTGTCCATGAGCTGTAGGCCTTGTAACAAGCGAGGACATCGCTTTTGCAGGCAATAGGGCAGATGATCACCTCGTTTGAGTAATCGTCTATAAAGGAGACATAGTACTCCTTGCCTGCTAGGGACTTCACTGGTGCCTTCCACCATACGTCTGTGTGCATGCGCTGACTGTACGCAGTCACTTGCAGGCTCGAGCATGCCTTTGGGAATGACTCACAAGTCTGCTTTACCTTTGTGCATGGTTCGCAGAAATCGGTGGTCGAGTTCTCGAGTCGCACTCTGGTGACGATATTGGCCTCAACCATTTTCTTGAGGGCAAGGGCATGGGCATGTGCCATGCGACGGTGAAACTCAGTGAGTGACAGCATCATCATCAACGCTGTGTCCTTCATGGGTGCTGATGGGATCGGCGATCCAGGTAAGGGGTACAGACCGCTGTGCTCAGCAGCTACAAACACAGTGGTACCTCGAGGGGAGATGACATGGCATCTGTCATGCTTGAAATGGACAGTGTAGCCAGCCTTCATAGTGCAGCTGATGGAGATGAGAGCAAAGGGCACAGACGGTGTGTAGAGGATGTCACATAGCATAAACTTCACGCTTCTTCCCTTGTGTACAGTATCGATGCAAACATCACCTTCACCTGTGGCATAGAAGATGCGTCCATTGGCTGAAGTGATCGGCTTGTGCTCGGTGTCCCGGAAGGTGACGAAATTCGAGCACACCAGATCAAAGTGTCGGCTTGCACCTGAATTGAGGATTTGGGTGAGCTTCGGAAGCTTCGCTCGCTCGACCTTCGAGAAATCGGTCGCAATGGCGAATGTGAACACCTTGTCATTGCCTGTTGTCACTGCATTTGCACTGGCTCCCCCTGAGCCCTTGTCATGCTTTCTCCCCCCAGTTCTTGCTCTGTGGCCCTTGGCCCTCTTTTCTGCCACCTTTTACCCAGCAGTCCTCTTTCAGGTGGCTGGGCTTGCTGCAATTGTTGCATTTTTTCCTCACATCCTTGCCGCCTGACCTCGTCATGAGTGCAGAGTCATCTGCAGTGCTCTGCGACTCATCCAGAGCAAACTCATCGCGTGCGACTGAGTAGATCTGGCATAAGAGTTCGTCGGATGTGATGGTGAGAGTGGGAGTTGTGATGGTGCCAGTAGCCTGGATGGAAGCCAGGTGAGTAGCGGAGAGGATGGTGCATATGATGGGGCGATAGGACTCTGGGAGACAGCTGATGATGAGCACGCAGTATTGCTTGTCATCAAGAACACTGCCAGCTGTCATGAACTCGGTCTTGAGCTTCTGGAGCCTGTCTAAGATCAGTCGAGGGTCCTTCTCCTCGGTGCAGCAAAGAGTGTGCATCCGTCGGAGTAGTTCTGCCTGAACGAAGTCACCGTGATTGTCATACTCAGCGATGACTATTTTCCATGCTCCGGACGCCTTCTTCTCGAGGATAATCCGGAGTTTCAGCGTTTCCAGTAGCGTCTGGTACAGAAGTGTTTTGATCGCCTCATGTCCGGCAGCCCAAGTGTTGTACGCATCTGCATATGACTTGTCTGCATCGGAATCCACCCCTGGAGCTGTGGGTGCAGTAGGCTCCTTGTTGCAGCCATCGAGATATCGTGCCAGCTTCTTCGTCATCACGGCGGACCTGAGTTGCTCCTTATAGAGCACCCAGTTCGATCCATCTTCCGCAAGGCAGGGGATCCTGACTGATGATTCGTGATTGCTGAGCGACATCTCGTAGTGGCCGGCGGGGCTCATAACCTGTAAATGGATGGAGAACGAGTGGATGAGGGGACACGTTAATGGAGTGGGCTTCAGTTCTCTGATAGATGAGCAACTCTATTAGTATGTACCTAACGGAGCTACGGTACATTAGTATATAAGATACTTTCAGGTAGAATGACAGAAGGACTCACTGGGCTTCAGTTCTCTGATAGATGAGCAACTGAAGCCCGGGGGAAGCAGCAAAGCGAGTGAAAAGTCTGACGGGTGCTAATCCCCGATAAGTATGTAAAAAAATACCTACTGTTAAGTGAGATTGTAAGTCCATACTTAGTCTTGTCTATGCTTGCTATTCCAACACTTCCCTGGCCCGAGTATGAAGACACTTGGCAAGCAGAAGGCTGCCAATGCATCAGATGAAGAGGGTGAAGTTGTGGGAGTGCTGGACCTCACCAAAGAGTAGGCAATGGGTCAGCATGGTAAGTTGGTCTCAGTGCATGTGCACGACGTATGCTCGCCCCTTTCGCGTTCCGTTTTCACTACTGGGTCCCACTATTGTAATACAATTTAGCATAGTACTGCTAGAAAAATTGTGTATAACCCCTGCACACACTGTATAATTGTACTATATGAGCAGATGCTTGTCATAAACATGTTCAACAATGCACGTAGCTGTTGTAGCTTCTGTAGAATGTTTCTGCTAGCATTATAATTGAGTTGTAGCCCTTGTTAAACACTTTTGTAGTTGTTGTAATATCTCATTGGTCTTTGTAGAATGTTTCTGACAGGTCTCATTGGTGTTTGTAAAATGTTCCTGCTAGAACTATAATTAAGTTGTAAGTCCTGTAAAACATTTCTACAGCTGTTGTAATATCTCATCAGTCCTTGTAACATGTTCCTGGCAGGCATTGTAATATCTCATTGGTGTTTGTAGAATGTTCCTGCTAGGATTGTAATATATATGTGCACTTAAGTTGGCATTCTTGTAAAAGCCTCCGAAGCTATTGCAATGTCTTGTTAAATGTCTTGTAAAGCTTGTGATCACCCTTTATAAACTATGATAAAACTTGGTAAAATCTCTGACATGCTTTTACAAACTATTGTAAAACTCACTATGAAAAAGACAATATAATAAAGAAGAATGCAGATTTGTTTTTGTTAGATAAAGAATGCCTTGTAGAACTTGTGACAACTCATTAAAAAGCACATTGTAGGTCATTAAAAACCCTGTCAGAGAGATCTATTGTAAATAACTATATCTCTATTGATGCCTTCCACTAACCTATGACAATGATACTAAACTGATTCAATAGCCATTTATAAATCACTATGCCTGGAAGAAACATATTATAAAATACATCATAAATACAGTGAACTGAGAAATAAAATAATCTAAAATAACATTAATCTGTTTCTCAGAGTATCTGTTAACTGCTACAACAGAAGTTTTATGTCAAACAGTGATGATGAAATGCAAATCTTAAGATATGAAGGCTTATGTAAACTGAAATTCAATGCTCACACAGATAAAGCACTGGCTTGCCAAGTTAAGCACTGATCATGCAAATTTGACACCAAGACAGTCAATGATTTAGCATGATACCTGAGAATTAAAATGGCTTAAAATAGCAATGAGTTCCATTTAAGTACATAGGTGAATTTGAAAAACAAATTAAGCAAACAGCCATTATAAACTGCAACTCTAACCAGACTTATTGTAACTGTAACAACCACTGCTAGCTGTCAGCCTTTAGCATCTTATTAGAATGTATATATATTAGCTGTAATAATCATTATCAGTTAGCCATAGCCTTATATGAAAACTAAGCATCCTTTCCACACCAACTGTCTTGAGGAAGAATCTTAGCACATTTCAAGCAATTTCTGTATTCATGATGAAGAAGCAGTATATACATCAAGGATGTACTACTTGTGACACATAGCTACAGAAGGTAGCACACAGACAAGATTACAGCTGAAGACATCTGAAACAGGCATTGGCCAGGTCAGTATTATGCTCACATCCACTTGTTTGGGGCTTTGGTTGGCTCTTGAGCTGCCCGCTTGCGAAAGCTTACCATGGAGCACATGGACAAATGCTCAAGAACCCAAAGTACATCACCAATTGCATCCACCACATCCATAATCTCAGAATCTGAACGTGCAGCATGCATCCACCACGACAGAGTGATGATCACCAGATGAAGGCCATTGCAGCCTCCACGCTCAAGAGCTGACCAGTCCATGTCTGATGAGAATGCCTCCTGCTTGAGAGGCCAGGTAGTATCGCCATGGTGTACAGCTGGCTGTAGATTGTACCACCATCCCTTCCACATCTGACCAAAGATGCCTGGATCACATGTGACAGCCCACCTGGACCTCACAGACTCCAGACCTTGCTAGGTTGCCATAGCCGGTAGCCTCCGCAACCTAACAAGGTCCGGAGGTCAATTCCTCACTATCTGCCAATACCACCAGCAATAGCGCAGGAATTTACCGTAAATGGCAACGCTGATCAACGCGGCTGATAACGGTTTTCAGCCGCGATCAGATGATCAACCACGCCTCATGGCTACCGTCAGCCCACACCTGGGCCACCGGATCTCCCCGCCCGCTGTCCCGGACATCGGGGCGCCATGCATCGTCATCGCCGCCGACAGCGACGATGAGCTCCCCTTATTTTTCTCGTTTCTTTCACTTTTTCTTTTGTTTTTTTAATACTTTTGATATACATTACTCCCTCAGTGCAATAGTATAGAAATCGGAGTGTCATTTTGTATTCTAACTTGTCGTGTCAGGCACATCACGTGAGACACGTGACACGACGCGTCGCGACAAGTTATTTAACGCGGCACCTTAGCTTTTCACTTTGCCACCGATAATCTCGCTTTGACGTCATCTGCTTCGTCTGCTCAGCTCTGTGGTGGCCATGGGGCACATCAAGCCACGCCGCAAGCCACGTGTGATCGTAGCCACCTCCTCAAAGCGCTCACGGACTCTGGGTGTGACTGGTATCACGGAGGAGAATAAGAAGGCGGCGCAAAGGCAGGCTCTAAGGACATCAGGTACATTTTTTCTTTACTACGGTGGATGATATATTAATATTTGATGCATCATTGTTGTAGGACTTAGTCAACAATCACGCAAGATTATCGCAGAACTTAGAGGCGAGGATTTGCCCCCTGACCACAGTGGCGCGGACATCCAGGATGTTCTCATGAACATTCAGCAAGATGGAGGAGGAGAGGAGGCAGACTGGGAGGATGAGCCTACGGATGAGTCATTCGTCCATGCGCTCAGAGATATTATGGGCTCGAGGTGCGTTGCAACATTTGTACGAGCATTGCTCAATACTTACATCCTTCCAGGTGGCGAGAACGATGGTACAAGGATGCTCGGACGTGGCGTCAACGGGTAGACCGCATGGACAAGAACTGGAAGCCTCTACTTCCCTGTCTTGTGGACTCCTACCTCCAATGACAATATTCGATGGTGGCCATGCCTAGCGAGAATCCCTCCTCTCACGATTTTACCATCGACACACTTGACATATATACCCTGGCAACGTCAGCAACTATACGCCGCAGAGCCGAAGACGTCTCCGCTTCTGAGGCCCTCGCGCATAGCAGATACCTCGGGACATCTCCAGTGAATCCATCTCTTGCTATCTCGTTCTCCACCCTCGAACTCTTCCGCTGTATCAGGCTTTTTAAGCCATCCTTTAGTGTGGAGGCCTTCGCGAAGCTCGTATCTTACTACTACAAGATCCCTTTCCGACGTCACTACCGCACTGCCATCGCAAATGCGTTCGACATCTATCTCAGCATTCTACGCGAGGTTCGCAAGCGCATCAACACTACCTTGGGTCAAGACACACCTAACTGGCATGTTCTGAATGCATGCCCTGCCTGCACATACGAACTTGATGAGGAGCCACCTCTCGAGTGGCGGCGCATCTTCGCAATGGATGGCAACAACTCACTCAAGCGAATCGCAGAGGTCAGCAACCGTGCGCGCGGTGACATGCGCAGCTTTGCAACGAGCGACTACTTCTTGTCCCGGGACTTCGTCGATCGCTATGCCAACGAGGTGAAGTCAAGGCCTCGCTCGAAGAAGGTTGACACTCGCAGTGGACAGCCCGTGCAGGACGGTGGTGAGAGTGGAAGCGACGATGATGGCGATGTGCCCAGCGTGGAGATTTCAACAATGGCAGAGGGGGATCCAACGGACGGCGAGGATGGCAACGTCACGACAGCTCCATGTGCGACCAACTGGAAGGCAGCGGCTTCTGAAGATCACAAGCATATGTGGGCCATATTCGATGAGGCAGGCATTTTTGTAGCTGCGTGCAGGCACGGCCTCATGCTCTGGGTCACGGACATGGTCCAGAGCGGTGAACTGTGAGTCTACAACGCATTGCAACCTGTTTCATGCTGATGATTGTCACAATCAGTGCAAAATATCCCCTGGCAATCTTGGCCAAGGCTTTAGAAGTCTTCGGCATCAGGCTTCTCGTGCCCTACAATATCGGATGTGTATTCCAGGAAACTACAGCACGAAGTTCGCTGGGGCCAGATTGGCTGCAAAGCGGCTCTCGGTGCTGCGTGAACACGTTCCATGGATACACGCACAACTATACTTGCCAGATGCAGAACCACCTGAACATTATCAAGGGGATGGGCCTCGAGGATGGCGAGACCCTCAAACGGCTCTTTAGCGCATCTAATAGCCTCGCATTGGTCACCTGGTATGCGTCACCCTACCGTCGGCATGTCCTCATTGACCTCTTCTTCCAGCAATGGGATGACGAGAAATATGGTAATCTTAGTCTAATGTTGTACAACAACTGTGTACAGGCATTGAAGATCATCAACGAGGATTCTATCGCACTGGCCGATACCATGCAAGCTCTCACGGTCAGCCGCGAAGATCTTGACAAATGGTCTTTGGAAGAGCGGCACTATTTCAAAACTCTGGGTCAAGAACACCCGTGGGATGTGCACGCCGTTGCATACATCGAGAAACTTCAAGAATGGCGTGCCATGCGTGCGCAAGTCGAAAATGTGCATGCACAATTCGTCAGTTCCATCCCATCTGACTATACATTTATCCTACCCTCCACCAGCACTGTCGACTACTACGCTGAGGCGTCATGCACACAGAAGCTCGAGACGAAGTGGCGTTACAGCGAGGAGTGTGAGCGCATGCTCCTGCATGATGTTGCCACCATGGAAGTGAAGATGGGCATCACGAGACGCTGGCAACCGACTGACCGTGAGTACATGGAAACTGTGAAGTATATTGTCGAGCGACGATATCACCGTGCACTCGAACACCTTCAACGCCTTGTCATACAGCGTCTCTTTGAGCTTCACAAGCTCAATCTTGCGCAGACTGGTAAGTATCATCACATTTTGTACTCGTCGTCGGCTAATTATATTCGCAGCATATCATGCGCGCACTCACATTGCAAAGTCTCTGCAAACTCGGTGCAAGGCGATCTGCAATGCCGTGAAGACGTACAACGCTGCGGCCCTCACACTCGATCCACCACGTCCTACCCTTGACTGGTCAAAAGTCTCGCACTACAGCTTCCTCGACGAGTTTGCGCTGCTTCAAGACACTCAAAATGATATTCGTCAAAAGCCCTGGGCCACTCCAATTGCACGTGAATGTATGAAGAAGGCACGTCGCCTCGATCGTGCACATGAAGAGGTCATGCGTGTTGGTATAGAAGCTCGGCGGCTGCAAACATCAATTGTTGATGAGGAAATCCTTTTCTCTCGTGCGCTAACTTCACTGGATGAACAGATGTCACCGTTATATGGAGCCGTTCAAGAGTTTTGCGAGCGCCGTCGCCACATCAATGCACGTCACCTTGCCCATCTTCAACAGCTCTCAGAGCTTGAGGGTTTTGTGACCGATCTGTCACCGGGACAACGCAAAGGTTCGACAGCATCATCAACAGATTCTGGTGCACATATCACTCCGACAATGCTCACTTGCACGAACCTGGTGGGCATCGAGGACGACGAGCTACTTGCAGCACAGGATGATGAGGTCAATGGGGATCTTGGGGAACTTGTAGACTATCTCTCAGAGTTATCTGTGAAGGAGTAGCTTCGTGTACAATCAATCATGCTGTCTAGATGTTGTCGGAATCAAAACGGTTGCTGAATGCTCTAGAAAGCCACAAAATGATGAAAGATTAAATGAAATATATTAGTGACTGAACTGAGAACATCACAAGCTACAGAATTTACGAGAGAAATGAGCTGGAATCAGTGTCAGCACGCATATGCATGAACGAGTCGTTCAGCCACAGCTCATGGCGTTGAGCGATCGAGCAATGGCAGAACTCATTGCGCCACTCACTGTTGCGCAAAGCATATCAGTGTCCCCTCGCTCTTTCTCCCCAGCTGCATCACCTCCCTGCTCTCTCGTCATGCATAGAGGTTCTCAGTACATCACTGTTCTCGGAGGTCCTCATCCTGGTATCTATGATGCGCGGTGAGTCTAAATTAACGTTCAGATAGTGACGCTGTGATCTCACCACATGAGCATTAGTCCACCCATTGGCTATGGTGGATACACCTCCCCGCTTCCAGTCATCATCCACTACACAGATCACACCGTTGCGACTTCTGTCTACATGCTGCAGCCATTTTTTCATCGCTTCGCAGGCGATGCATGTGAGCCGAACGACCTTATCATCAAGGAGATGGTCCACAGTCTGCTTCTCTGGAAGGAAGCAAGAAAGGTGATTCCGGATACACGAGAGTTTGAGAATGTATATGTCGTTGTCCGTGGCAGAAAGACCGGTATCTTTTTTTCCTGGTAAGTCTGTCGTTGAACGATCAGCGCTCAGCTGTCAAATCTGACAGCAAAGTCAGGAAGCAGTGTTATGTACAGGTTCACGGGTTCTCAGACGTGAGGTTTATGGCCTACAAGAACTTACCAGAGGCCATTGCCCACTTCTTGCATAAGGAGCCTGCAACATACGAGTCTCTGAATGATCCAACATCATGGCTAGGGACGTTCGAGAACTATCTCATGGATATTCTGAATCAGAGCATTCGCGCTGATGAAAATGGTGATGACGATGAGGACGGTGAGTTGCTTTTCACCGTTGCTTCTTTCATTGAACCTACTTCTCTTCTATGTAGCGGTAAACGGCACAACGGGACGGTCGGAGCACGTTATAGAAGGACTCAATGGTACGGCGGTTCTCTTCTCACTAACATCACTGATGCACTCTTCAACCTCCTTCCAGATCTCATGCAAACTGTTCACATTGACAACACGCTGCTGTCGGCGTCTGAACTATCTGGAAAGGGCCCTCGCATGACCAACTCATGTTCCAGCAAGACACATGTGCACGAGGTATCATCCAAGATAGTCGGCACGTACTCAGAGATGCCTTCGCATGCAGCATGCATCCCTTCAAACGTTCGATCTCACGCTGTCAAGATGGACGCCGGACCTTCGCAAGTGCAAGAGTCTCCTGCTCCCCTGATCCATATCATCAATGCAAAGCCCACGACTGCTCTGTACACTGTTGAGCAGTGTTCCACGCCTCTCACACTGACTCCATACATTCGGTCTCCATCTCCATCTCCTTTCGATAGTCGGGATCACAATCAACAGCGTTCGTGTTGCACTGGTGTCATCAACCTCAGTTTCAATGATGACATCAACGAGAAGTTTCTTGTACCATCTCTCGGCACGTATGCTGATTATTACATATCATCCCATAGTTATACTTACCGTGCGCGGGTGGAGGTGGTTGCGGCATTTGCCAATAGCCGCAATAGAGAGGAATTTGTTGCTCGCCTCCATGGTGTCGATGTCCCAGCAAAGCACTTAGAATATATCTACTTTCTGTGCAAGAACCGCATTTAAATCCTATCTACTGCTCTCTCAATGAATTAAATCATGTTCCATATTTGAGTCACGTGTGAATTTTTGTTGATTGTCAGAGACGCATCCGTCGCGCGACGTGTCTCGTGTTACACACCATCAAACTTCTTTGACAGCTGATCCTTGACGTGTGGGCTTCCCTCTGACATGTCTCCAGCACAAGTGGCAAATCTCCTGCAGCGTCTCCCGAGCAAGAAGCGGAAGAGTCCGGCAACTCTACAGGCTCGTCGGCCTTGGAGGACCAGAACTAAATGCAAGCTGATCCCGAAGACAGCAGCTGAAAGAGCGCACTTGCAAAATGCCAGACGCGAGCAAAAGGAGGCGCTAAACCAAGCACTGTCTGAAGCTCGTGAGATGATTCTCGAGCAGGCACGGGTGATGCGAGAGCGCTTCGGTTCCCACAAGGTCGACTACTACTTTCGTCTCATCATGCAACGGCCACGCAAGTCTGTCTACAAGAGACAGGTCAACCCATGGAATGCCTGGCAACGTGGTGAAGTGAAGCGCCGCAATGACGGTACGTGTATCTGACATCAACTTACTATATGAGATTCTCATTTGCCTTGATTATCAGCACTGCCACCTGGTGAGCCCCGGAGGAAGACTGACTACTGGGCCCCAATATTGAAGGAGGAGTGGGCATTGTTGGCAAAGGAGGAGCGCGCTATGGCTGCCGCACCATACATCAAGGAGCTGCAGGCAGAGCGCAAGATGAAGAAATACTCGGTCCACGACATGGAGCAGGCGGCATTCAATGATGCCCGTGGGTCGCTCGCAAGCATCCAGCATGAGGTGCATTATTTATCACTATATGTTTCCATATTTGCACCGCTAACTTTCGAATTGTGGCAGCTCATGGCATTGAGTGAGCGCACGGGGATGCAAACGATCCTCTTCGCCGTGCGCTCTACTCCTAAGTCTTACGGAAGCCCGCACGTATTCTACACCGATGACCGCCTTTCAGATTTCATCGAGTTCACAACAAAGAACTCGGTGGCTGACTTTTCTGCCCGGATGGATGGATATGTGCTTTCTGGGGTAGACGGTACGTATATTTTTCCGCTGTATGTCCGATATCTTATGAAGTCAATAGGTGCTGTTACAAACTACAACCAGGAGACCACTAGGATGAAGAGCCGGTTGGCAGCTCTTATCAAGCAGAAACTGAGTAAGGCAAGATTTCTTCATTCTGCATTCATACTGACATCACTCATAGAAGAAGGGTCTCCACGGCCCGTCGGACGGCTTACTTACATCAATTTTGAGATGAACATCACCATTCCATACCGAATGCTCATCAAGGGGTGGCCTCTCACCAGATTCTGTTGCCCGAGCGACATATCCACCCGCATGGAGGTTCAGCTCTGTCTCACGGCTTGGGAGACAGGAACAGCTTACTGGTACTACATAGAGAAGGACGAGGAGTACAATGCGTGGTTGAAGGAGTATCATGAGGGCCTGTCGGTCCGCCAGGTTGGCAGTGTGAGCAGCGGTGCGAACGACGATGACAACAGGCAATGGACTGCAGCTGCTGTTGATGGTGGTGGTGCAACAGCCACCTTCTCTCAAGCTGACGCAGTGCACAGAATGGCGCTGAATGCATCGACGATGATAGCAACCAGCGGGGGGAATGACACGTCGATGGTGATGATGGCAAGCACCGACGTTCCATCCACTGCTGCGTCGATCGACATCGTATTCATCAATGCAGGTCCGCATGTCGATCCGAGCTCAGGGCCTCACGCAGATGCTGCTACATTCACAAGTGCACCAATCTCCAAGTGCCGCCATCCTCTAGATGAGTCATCCATCAACATCGTGGCTGCCGCTGATGGGACTGCCATCCCAGTGCAGAAGAGAGCTCGGAAAGTTCGGTTCGACAAAGGGGTAAAGAGGGGTTCTCGCAAGGCTTACGCGCAGTCTGCTCAGATCGAAAATGTCATGCCCGCTGCTGTCAATGCCGAACCATGAGGTATGAATGCCATGTGTGTGTAGATGTGATATTGCTCTCTACCCCACTGCATCTCCTGCCTTCATGGGCCTGCCTGGTGGTCTGTTTATAGATAGCATGGATTGTAGCTGTATTGCTGATTTGGTGACGAAAAACTCATTTTATTATGCTATTTGACCGTGATTGCAGTACATAGTAAGGGCAATACAATGATGATATAAGGTAATTGATGCATAAAGAAGAAATGATAGAAAGCGGACCAGAAATGAGGAATATAGGGGGGAGCTCGTCGTCGCTGTCGGTGGCGATGACAATGCACGGCGCCCCGATGTCCGGGACAGCGGGCGGGGAGATCCGGTGGCCCAGGTGCGAGCCGACGGTAGCCACGAGGCGTGGTTGATCATCTGATCGTGGCTGAAAACCGTTATCAGCCGCATTGATCAGTGTTGCCATTTACGGTAAATTCCTGCGCTATTGCCGGTGGTATTGGCAGATAGCGAGGAATTGACCTCCGGACCTTGTTAGGTTGCGGAGGCTACCGGCTATGGCAACCTAGCAAGGTCCGGAGTCGGTGAGGTCCAGGTGTGACAGCCTCTGGCTTGAGGATGCGATGCTTCTTACTTCACTGCTTAACTTCCTCTAGGTGGCCTCTCGTTGAAGGCCAGTTTGCACATGACTTGCCATCCAGGAAGCCCAGCTGATGCTCAAAAGCAATTCACTCGGTAATGAGACCTTGCCATTGGCTGACAGCTTTGAGATGTTGAAAATACATCTGACTATTCTTGATCCATTTAGGCAAGTCATCTCCGTGTGTGACAGTAAGACTGGGTGGAGCAGATGAACTCGATGTGCTGGGCTGAATGAATGTGTTCAGCTGGTCATTCCCTGCAGGCATAGCAGATGTGTTGGGAGCTTCGAGTGTGATAGACACATCTGATAGGTCAGATGTGCCTCATGCTGAGGATGGCTTCTGAGCATGGGAGACATTCAATGCATCAGACACTCTGATCACAGCGAACCCATCAGGAGTACCATGGTTGATGGATATGTTTGATAGTTCAGGTGCCCCAGGCACAGCAGATGTGTTGTGAGCACCAGATGCCATGGCTCTATCTGACGTGTTAGATGCTCCAGGCACAGCAGATTCTTTGAGAGGTTCAGGTACACTGGGTGCATTCAGTGGCTCAGGCACTCCAGGCACAGTGGACGTGTACAGCAGCTCAGATATACCAGGAACAGTGGATGCGTTAGGAGTACTGGGAACTGTGGACAGATCAGATGCTCCTCGCACTGAGGAAGGCTTCAGAGTGTGAGAGACATTTGATGCATTGGACACTCTGGGTGCAGCAAACTTGTCGAGAGCACTGGGTGAGACATATACATTCAACGGGTCAGATGTTCCAGGTGCAGTGGACTTGTTGGGAGCTGAGGGCATGATAGAGGTGTTCAGCTGGTTGGTGACTCCATGCACAGTGAACATTTCAGGAGCCGCAGACACTATCATCATGGGTGCATGTTCCAAAGCTGCAACAGCCTTCTTAGAGCTACCGGCACTCTGAACACAGCCAAAGTCCTGTCAATGAGGTGAGCCCGTATCCTTCTCGCTATTTAGTTTTATGATTTGCACTAGTTTGAGCCACGGGGTGTACATTTTGGTGGGACATTGCCACCCTGTGAGTCATCCACGTCTCACTGTTTCACACTGCTCTCACTCCAGATGCCACTGAACACCATTATCCTTCACCTCTTCCTAGTGCGATGCACATCACAGTGATGACCGAGCTCATTTCAACGATCAGTTGAGCTCACCATGGCACTCTCCTGACAGCATGGAGGGAGACTCTCAGGTAACATTGGACCCACCTTCAATCAGCATTGATGCCAACCACAGGCACGATTGCCTGGTTGCAGTGCTGCTGAGGATGGTGAGTCACAGCATCGAGACCTGGCACCAATCACTGGGTGAGGCATCTGGTCCCACCTTCCCTACTTCAATGCCAAGCTATGCTGTGGCCCAGCTGCTCCTGACACATTCAGGCTGAATTTGCCACTGTCCCCCCTGCCAATATTGGCAGATTGCAACCGCTATAAGTTTTTGCCACAAGCTGCCACAGCAACAGACTTGTGAGGAGCTGATGCGCACGCTTTATTATCATGCATCTTTGTTTCTGATGGAGAGTCAGAATTGCTCTTCATACATGATGTCCGAGCTACATCAATGATGAGCGCTCGCATGGTCCCGTTCCAGGCTGTAGCTCATTATTATCATGGGCACCCCCATGTGTGGATGGATCACAGGGCTCACAAGACCAGAAGTGACCATGCAACTACCCGAGGAAGAATAAAAATGACATGTAGGATATTAAATAAACTCACCAGAACCACAGCAATCCCTCTTTCCTCTGAGCCTTTCTCATCAAAGTATTGGCTGGGCAAAGTCTTCTCCATCATTCAGATGCTTGTAGATGGTTGTGGAGCATAGAAATGTGTCAGGAAGTATGCATTTTGTAACGTATGTAATGAAGCGTACCTTTAGTTATACACTTCGTTCTTCGTTATTGCACCACTTACATTCTGCAGCAATGTTGCTTGCAAATATCACAAGCAGGTATACAAGAGCTGTTTGTACACTTTCTGAGAAGGAGTCCATATTCCACAGGCATGTTGATAGCAAAGAGTAGATGTAGACAGCCTGATTTCGAAGAAGGCATGAGCATCAGAGTGGTGTTAGAGTGATAGCCAGCACGAGTTGTCCGAGGAAATCGATGGGCCAGAAATTTCAGAGTATCTTGAGCACAGCATGAGGCATGTTGAAAGTGTGTGCAGCAAAGATTCGAAGTCGCAAAGAGCTTAAAAAAACAGTTGCAGACAGGAAAATCAGGTTGAGGAGTAGGTGCGGAGCAGTGCACTTTGCATAGCAGCAAGTCAATGCCACTTGACATTCATGCTTGCGCTTCAGCCTCGGTGATATCCCCGAGCCACCTTATCTTGCTCATTTCTGTGTCCCACTGCTCCTCAGCTTCTCATGCACTTTTCTAGGTAACTGCACTTGTCATATGGCTTCTGTATTACCCTCTGCCATCCTTGTGGATAACAGTACCCATGCTGAGCATCGTCTGCAGTGGCAGGCATGTAAGTGGCGAGTTGACTGATCCTTGCGCTTTAGCCTCAGTGACATCCCCGAGCCATCTCCTCTTGCTCATTTCTTTGTCCCACCACTTCCCAGCTCCTCCTGCACTCTTCTAAGTGACTGCACCTGTTCTACGGTATCTGTGCGAGCATCACAATGCAAGTCAATCCCCTTGAAATCTCACAGATAACAAAACTCATCTTCAACATCTTTCACAGTGGCATTGGCTCATAGGAGGGGGTTCTTAGTTGGATGCCTGGTCATATATGCAACGGGACTCATCTTCATGTGGTCTGATAAGTCTCCTGATATTCCTGAGCATATCTAAGTATTTTTTCCTCACTGTTGATGTGAAATATGAGTGCATACACCCTGCGAGTGTGTCGAACACTCTGCCATCCCCAAGCTGTTCCAAAAGCCAGTGGGGACTTTGCAGTACATGGAGCCATACAAGAATGCTTTTTCAAAACATATTTGAAGGAAGAGGAGCTTTAGGATGGGAAGGGAGAGATGTAGGAGTGGTGAATGCCTTCGGAGACCAGTGAAGGTGAGTAATGAGAATAACATCTGAATCTCATTCAATGCTGACTTATTCTCAGCGTTCAAGCCTAAAGGATCACTATGAGTGACATCCTTCCACACTCATCATTCTTTGGCACTTGGGAGGGGCAATATCAAGCTTGGTGAGCATTGACGCCCGTTTGATTCCTCCTTCATGCATATCTCGTTTGTATTCATTCTTTCGCCCTTGAGGCATATTCTAACATGCTACTATACTGATATCAAGTGCACTTCAAGCCTACATACCTCTCTGGCATGCTGAAGAGACTACACCACTTGTCTCAAGTCCACATTCCGGGGCTTTCAGGTGAGTTCTACCACTCTGGGCATCAGACATACATCTCACAAGCACATCTCAAACCAATAGGGTGCATATTTGCTTACTCATCCATGAGAATTTTGGTATCTAAGGATTGCAACCACTTCAAGAGTTATACCTTAAATGTTTGTGCTTTCACTTATGTTTACCATGTAATAGAGCTCATTTCTCTATAAAATGAGTGATACGAGAAAGCACATTAAGACACAGCTTATATTGTTGAAAAATGCATGCTTGCTGTTGTCAATGGTGAGCACGAGCCCATGTACGATGGCAAGCATGGCATGTGGCACTGGGGACTTGCCACATGCCACTGATCAACAGTGCACTTATTCAGTGACTCCGAACGATATTTGGGTGCCTGGGGTGTGCCGAGGGAGAGCGCTAAAAAAAACCCCGATCACGCTGTTTGATCTTTGTCGTATCATGCTCACCAATGCTCATTGGGACTGTGGCCTCGTCTTACACTGTGTTCATTTTCTGACAATATTTCTACACCTGCACTTCATGTGCACGACCTACACTGATGTCATCAAAGTGATATGTATTATACCAACCTCGAGCGTAAAAGAAGACTAAGCACGTTCAAATTTCTGATGGTGCTCCGAGCAAGAGTCACACGACTGAGCAGACCTTTATGCTGCATGCAACGAAGTTCAGCAGCCTTGGACAGAAGGCCAGCAAGGTTGCTGTCCAGTCAAACATGGTCGAGACTGATCCTTCTTAGTCAGACACTGCCGTTCCTGACCTATCCATGAAAGAATGAGTGGAGGATGCAACAGGCAGCCCTCAGAAAGCTTCTGCACAGCTAAAGAGAAACTGGCACGACAAGTGTGCATCAGTAAGTAAGTGTCTGATTTTCATTTCATCTGAACTGATGCATTTCAAACCGGTAGGAGAAAATATCCAGCTGGCTTCCATTTCGCCAGCTCTTCTTGGATGAGCTGCTCAGTCACAATGGACTGGGGGATACCACAGCAGACCAAAAGTGCCCTGGATGCGACAATGTCAGAACTGTACACTGTCAGGACCGCTCAGATGAGTGCCTCCACTGTACAGACTGCATCATCACAAGACATGCCTCCTTTCCATTACACTGTATATGTAGAGGTATGTCACTCACCACCTCATGTATAGTATGCCTAATGATGTTTTTCAGCAGTGGATCTCAAATGTTTTTGACAAGATTACACTGCGAGAGCTAGGATTGATATACCAGCTTGGTCATGCTGGTGCCTCCTGCTCAGACCCATCTCCTCCATGTGCAATCTGTATATGTGACATCAATGGGGTTCACCTAGTGAATGTGCACTTCTGCCAATGTGGAACATTGAAGAATGGCATCATTTACAAATGGCAGCAACTCCTGCACACTCACTTCTTCTCTGCTAGTACAACATGGCCGCAAACTGCATTTACCTTCGACATTCTTGATTTCTTTCACGAGCTTACACTGCAAGGGAAAATGAACCTGTACGACTTCTATCAGACTCTTCAGGATGTCACCGACAATTCAGGAAGCTGCAACCTTCTGGTGAGACTGATCAGTTATGACTCCATGAACATGGGACACTGAACACCCTATACAAAACAGATACAAACAGATGTCTCACGTTGTATGCATCTGGTGCCATCTGAAGATGTTGAAATGAGCTGCACGTGGGCATGATCCAGCCAGAGTGGAAGCTATGCAGGAGGGTGAACTCACTGTTGAGTGTCTGGCATGTCCACACCCAGATTGCAACCTACCAGCAGGATGGGAAAGTGCACCATCAGATGTCTCATAAGTCAATCTCTACTTCACTGTCTTGACCTGCTGAGCATCTGTGTAGATGGCTTTATGCATTATTTCTCATGGTTGATGCCAACTTTCACATTCACTGCAAGGACAAAGGCCTCACTGACAATCATCTGGCTCCCAGATGGGCTTATTTTGTTGAGGAATCGAAGTATCTTGCACATGTTGAGTGTACACGCCCATCTAGAAGAGGTTCGCATCTGATATATCTGCTCCACCATCTCAGAATCTGATGTCTGTTGCATTGTTGCATAGAAAAATACTTGCTCCGCTGAACATAACACTATTATAAAGGCAAACCTGCACAAGAATGGCTACTTGGCATCCGGAGTTGGTGCCATTCTCTGTGTGCAGCATGTCTTGGTTTGTAGAAAAGGTGTCGGGGACCTGCAGAAGGGTGAGAAGTATGTGCAAAATTCATTAGCTTGTATCTATGCATTCCTGACTCACCTCTCCAGATTCTGCAACATAGACTACCTCATTCTGTCCACCCTCACTGCCCTCGTACTCCTTTGGCTGATGGTCACATATGACATCACCTGTCAATTCAACAAGAAGTTCGCCAAGCACACAGCAGAATATTGTGAGGATCTCAAGCTCGACCTGGGGCATGTCCATATTCGTTGGGGTATTCCGAAGAACCACATACCTGTTCATGGTCCTGACCACATGCGCTACTCACTGAACTACTTGTCAAAAGTTGGGTGCATGTATGGTGAAGGCATTGAGTCAAGTTGGTCACACATGAATCCAATCACATTGAGTGCACAGGAGATGGGCTCTGCAATGTGGTAGGAGGTACTCGATGATCACTGGGGAGCTTGAAATTGGTCCAAGATCATGAACTTCAGTAAGCAACAATCAATGCGAGTGTGCAAGTAATCCTGATGCTGTTATTTCTGCAGGACACCATCTTCGCCATTGCTATGAAGAGGCTGTTGCCATGCATAAAAAGCAACGAGAGGCATTCAACGAGTTTTCTGACACATTCTCACTGAAAGTCATTCAGGAATGGACAAAAATTGTAAAGGCTTGGGACGAAGATCACAATGCAAAGCCGGACTCATATGAAGAGCCATCCTCCAGTATGTCTTATGTTCCTTTGGATGATCTTTATGTTCACAATAATGCCATAGCACATTCAATGAGCTCGTTGCATCTACAGCTCACACAAAAAGATGCAGCTGAAGCGGAGCATGATTAGGTTGCCCCTCATGAAGTGACAGCAAGCATGTTCTTACAACTCAGGATTGAGCTCGAGGATCAAATGTAAGTCTCACCATACCCTATGTGAATGTCTGCTGACTTGCTTTACAGTGGCCACTTCCAGTCAAAGAGCTCAGGGAAGAGTGACATGAGCCATGCTGAGCATCAGGAGAAGCTCAATACTCTCAGCCATCGTGTGTGACAGTGGTGATCTCTACAAGACATCTACATGCCAATGGTTGCTCAGCTGCGTGTGGAGCCTCCGTCACTTGATGTGGACATTTCTGTCAGCTCTGGAGAGGCTACAAGCACAAGCTCAGACCTTTCACTCTTTCTGCCTTCTGCCTTGCCTGATTCATACCACATCCTCAATATCATTCATGACCTGGTCAACAAAGAGACATGCCTGCACCTTGCACAGGCTGAAGACTCCCTTGCTCACATTCATTGCCTTCATTGCATTATCACTGATGTGCAACAGTTTTGCAAGTTCAATGTCTCTGGCACTGGGCAGAAGGCCAACACTCGAATGTGAACTGTATATGATCACTTTGCCTGGATGATCATTTATGCTACAGCAAGTTATCGTTCTGCATGGGCTGCACTCAGTACTTTGGATCTAGAGGGTGATTGGAGGCTTCACTATCTGGTTCTTGCTGATAAGGATGTCTCGGACCCTGGACGTGATGAGCAGGGCACTGGAGAAGGTTGTTATGAGCTTTCATGGATTTGGCGCATTGCACAGGCTGATGGCAGAGAAATTGGTGAGGGAGAGGCCACTATGAATGAGTTCAATGACAGCATGCGAGTTGAGTAGGCATGGACAAGGGCAAGGGCAGAGCACTGGGATAAAGAAATTCAACTTCTTGAAGAGGAGATGCGAAGGCTGCTTGCATATTTGAGATGGAAGACAGCTTGGTGGAAAAAGCAAGGTCAGTATCAAGGTGATGCTCCTAAGGCAGTGCACTCTGGACTTGAGGCATATGCTGAGAAGCAAGCTGCACTTTTTGAGCACCTTGCAGCTCAGTTTACTGGAATGTGGTATCCTATCCTTACTCACCATGGCCATTTGCCTTTATGGGCTGCTAACTTTAGTAAGTTGCAGTCTATTGATAAGGAAGATGGACAGGATAGCATAAGTAAATCAGATGATAGTGATGAAGATTCTATTATAGAGGATGACTAGATTATATAACCCTGTAAATAAATAGATCATTTTCATTGTTTTCATTGTAAAAGATTTTGAAAAACAATTAGCATAAGGCAAGCAAAAAGTAATCATATTGTAACAATTGAATGATGTCAAGAGAATTTATACAATCATTAATGTATTACAATGCAGCATGAATATGACAATGCTGTAAAATAAGCATAGTGTATTTAGTCAATTTATGCTTATTATAGTGCTAGCAAGTTATTTCTACAGACAGCATGATTTAAGTGCAAGATATTACAATGCCTGTCAGAAATATTTCGGAGAGAATAAACTTCAATTGCTAAGACATTAGACTATTTGCAGAAGCATTCCACAATGGTTACAACTGAGATGCACACATATTACAATATTTTACAAATTCTTCCAAAATTATAATAGCTATGCACATTGTTTTATACATCTTTATTACAAGAGCAATGAGATATTACAACAGCTGCAGAAGTGTTTTACAGAACTTACAACTCAATTACAATGCTAGCAGAAACATTCTACAAAGACTGATGAGATATTACAACAGCTGCAGAAGTGTGTTACAGGACTTACAACTCAATTACAATTGTAGCAGGAACATTCTACAGGAATTACAACAGCTACGTGCATTGTTTTACATCTTTATGACAAGCATCTGCTCATATATTACAATTATACAGTGTGTGGAGGGGATATACACAATTTTTCTAGCAGTACTGTGCAGAATTGTGGGAACCACAGCTGGTAAGGTTCATGAATTGAATGAACCAGTCACGGCATGAGCTCATGGATGCCGTTGAGCCCGAGTTGAGAATCCAATGGTTGGCAGGTAGGCTGCACTGCGTGAGCACATGGATGATGAACAGTCAGAGGAGGGGGGGATGCTGTGATACCCCGGGTGGATGCGACCCTCACTGTGAGGTCTTCATTGTCATCGCTACCCTCTTTCTCCTCCTGCTTCTCCTCGTCTCTCTTCTTCTTTAGCACTCCTCCTCCATGTGGTTCAGCTTGTGGCAATAGCCACACTTCTTGCCAGATTTTGGCTGCTTCCCATTCGACTTTGATGTTGATGGCATACCTGACAGCTTGGCAGCAAGCGCATGCTGCGATCCCTCCTTGAGGTGTTCGCACTCTTTAGTAAGGATCTGATTTGTGACCGTCTCTGTGGTGAGCTTGTTGCTCATCAACATGAGGATGGTGCAAAGTACTGAATATGATGAAGGGAGCAATATGATCATGGTGACCGCAATCAGCGAGTCTTCGAGCCGCTGTCTGAGGGCAGCCAGAATGTTGGCCTTTTGGACCATGCTGTCAAGCTGTGCCTCCATACTGGTCTCATCAGAGATGGTACCACAAAATAGCTCACCAATGAGGTGTGCTATCATCTGTTTCCCCTTCCCCTCATACCACATGGTGAGTTTGTCCCATACAGGCACCACCATCTTCTCGTACATGATGCCACTCAGAGGCATATCTTTGAGCATGAGTGTGATCTGCACCTTTGTGTCTTGATCCTTGTCATCCCATTTGGCCTGCTTGTCAGGTTCAGAATCTGAAGGTCGAGCTTCCTTACCCTGGATGATGTTCCAGAGCTTTCTGATGCATAGCACCATCTCGAGATGGATTTCCATTGCTGCTAATTTGCTCCATCATCCTTGAGGAATGGAATGTCATAGAAACAATTTGAGCTGAGAGAGAGTTTAACAGATTTGAACATGGCGTGAGAGGGTGTGGAGTGAGAAGGTGTAGACTGTGGTGCAGGAGGTGCTGGTGTGGGTGCCGGTGTGGGTGCCAGTTGAAGAGAGAAGGATTAAGGAGTGTGAGCACAGTGGAAGCTTGAATGAATGGACAGGTTAGTGTGTAGCCACAGGGCTCATAACCTATTGTCCGAGGTCAAAATTTCTGAGGGCTGTAAGACATGTAGGAATGAGTGACTCAGCCTTGATGTATGATGCGAGTGCTATATAAAATACCTGTAAGACACGTAGGAATGAGTGACTACAGTGTATGAGTAAAAAGTATGTAAGGAGTCCAGTAGGTACTTATCTCAGCCTCGATGTATGATGCGAGTGCTGAGGTAGCAGAAAAAGATCGAGCGTGCTTGTGGCTACATAATTATATAAGCAAATGTGTGCGGAATGTCTAAGTCCGTGTCTCACTGAACATAAAGTCTGTATGACTTCCAACAGGGAGTACTAGCTAGATGCCCAGGAGCTCATTGTTGGTGCTCAATTCAGTCAGAAGCACTCAGAGTTTGCTCATCGGTGCTTGAGCCAGTTCAAAGACAATTAGGGCTTTGTCGTCAGCACTCGATTCAGTTCAGAGACAATTAGGACTTTGTTGTCAGTGCTTCACCAGCACTTTCAGATATAGCAAGTCCTCGTGCCACAGCCCAGACCTTCAGCCATCACAGCTCATGAGTACTGAAGTCACCAATCACATTCCACATGCACACACCCCCACATTCCAGCTTTTGACTGTTTTCCAGTCAGAGGCATTCACATAGTTGAGTCTGACACTCACCGGTCTGAGATTTGGCAAATTCGACTCCATTTCAAGCAACACAGCTGAACGACTTGCAGCAGCCTGTCACTGCATTATCACCTAAAGTTTCCTGCAACTGTAGCCCAAAGGGGCCATGGATGGACAGAGCCCCAGTTCACCTTCCACCAGTAGGGGTTTGATTAGGAGCACTGCTCATGGCCAGGATGCGGTTGAGCATATCACTGGGTCACCATGAAAGTCTGTCTGCCACCCCATGTTGTGCCACCAGAACGTGCACCAGGTTGAAGTAAAAAGGAGAATCCCAGCTATCCAGCGGTTGATTGTCACATTAGGTTGAATGTCCAGATTGTGGAGCATTCCCTTAACATATTTTGTGTCTACCTCCACATTGAATATCTTGAGCCTGATGAGATAGATCCGGTAGGCTCGCAACACCCTAAATAGTCCGAAAAGTTCTATCTTCGCCTGTGAGTATCTCAATTCCTATTCATTCCAGATAATCAATCTAAACTGGCTCGGACACCTTCGCTTTTGTGCATCCATCTGAAACAATGAATCCCACCACTATTACAGATGAGTTGATGGTGAGGATGACCTTTCCCCCTGAAGTATAGCTGATTGGGGCCAGGGCCCCCGAGTTCATGACTGCATCCTTGAGTACCTGCATGGCTCGAACATGCTCATCTCACCACTTGAAGTCCACCTCCTTCTTGAGCAGGGTGGTAAGAGGCTTCACAATTTTTGCAAAGTCTTTCACAAAGATCTGTATAAGCCCACATGTCCACAGAAACCCTCTCACCTGTGAGACCATCTCGCACTGCAGCCAGTTCTGAATTTTCTGCACTCAGGCTTCATCTGGAAGCTGCCCTACATATGTACATTGGTGCCCCACAATGACCACCTCCGGGACACATAGGTAATCCTTCTTGCCTGAAAAGGTTTCCCTGAAGTGTTTCATCCGATGAATGACTCAGTTCATATTCTGGAAGTGCTCCCATATGAATTGCTGAACTCCTGAATTTTTAGGGATAGTCTCGTACCCACCCTTCGGGAGCTCATAATGTGTCACGGGCCCCTTCACTGGTATGTCATCAATGAACGGAACTGTAACTTTGGGTATCTCATCCCGTAGAATATGCGTCACATTGCCATGCATGATCTGCATTGAATTGATATATCCCATAGGAATCGAGGTAAGCTGGAGAGACCCTAATGGAGTCTGGAAGGATGTCAAGTCCCGAGACTTCCAGTCCAAGGATCGCTGGTCAAACATGACAAATAGATCCAGGCTTCCATAACACCCCTGAGCCCCAAAAGATTCTGTGAGATGCTCCACCACTGGGGAAACTTCTGAATCCTTGATTGCTATCCCATTCAGCAGCTGCAGGTCATATACCAGCTGGCGCAACTTTCTGTCCTTCTTGATGATGCAGAACCACCTCGAGTGATATGATAAGTTTGAACCTTCATAAATCCCAGAGTCGATCTTGTCCTTGATAATCTGCATCACTTGCTCGAATATTCCTGGTGGTATCTGGCATGTTCTTGAGCACCCACGGGATGTGTTCTACCATCAGAATGACTACTGGATCGAAGTACTCCTCCTGGAACTGCCCATGTGAATGCTGTATTGTGCTCACACATTACAAAGTCTGCTAGCTTGACCTCCTCTGGCCATAGAAAACCATTGCTCACAGCATTAAGTGCATTGTGCCTCTCCTACGTGTACCTTCTCCAAGGTTCAAATTCAGGTGGACACACCGCTAAGGTTGGAAGCCCTTTCAGCAGGTTCGCCAGTTTCTGTCATGCAATTCAAAACTCTTCTGGTAGAGTAGTCACCATGGGCTTGACCTGGTCGGCCACCTTCTTGTAGGTGAATACTTCTGTCTCTTGCTTCTCGACTGTGACCCACCCCATCTTCCCATGACCCCACACTCTCATCTCCTCAGTCCAAAACCTGCTCTGAAGATCCATGTGCTCCTGCCCCACATTGTACAATGAAGAAAAATGTATTTCAGATTCAGTAACTTTACATGGGACACAAGGTGATGTGGAACTAATGGATGCAGTTTCGGACAATACCCGGCTCTTTTTCATGCAAGCCTTGTTCTCCTCGAGGCATGTCTCTTCTGTGGATCTGCCTATTCTCCCCTCCAGACTCTGTTGAATAGTCCATGGTGGTGTGAGCACATACATGGAATACAATCCTAATATCATGTCTCCTCGAGCTATGCCCAATTCATCGACCTGTGAAAACCCACGAGGTTCAGATCCACTTTCCATTGCATGGTCTGAGCTTTTGTTGACACTATGACCCACTTCCCCGAGTGTGGATCTGTGAATGTGATCTGCTGCTCTCCGGAGGCAAAGTCTCAAGTCTCGCAAGCTGCTGTAGCAAAGAACGGCCACCCAAGAAGATTTTGAATGGTGCATGGTGCACTACCTGAACTTGTACTGCAATGACAACTGACCTGAAGTGGAGCCAAACACACAGCAGCTTCCTGACCATCTTTATCACCAAGGTGTTCACAGTCTCCAGAAGAATCACTCTGTCCAGGTTGAGAGGGGCTCCAAGATCTTCCCAGACATCCTTCCACATGACGCATATCTGCACACCCTGGTCCAGGATACATTTGCACTGGAGCATGTTCTCGATGATTGGTTCGACAACCCAGAGTGAGAGTGATCCCTTCATAGGTAGCATTGTCTTGGAGACCATTAGAAATATGCTCTCCTTGCCTACGCTGACTTCATCTTTGTCCGTAACATCCTCGACCCAAGCAGTCATCACTATGCACTTCAGGGTGATCAGCTCCTTGAGGTGCTTCCACGGTTCTGGGCCATGTTGCATGAGTTCTCCAATGGTGACTGTTAAAGGTAGGTTGAATATCTTTCTGACTAGCCTGGGGACATTTTTCTCCTCTTCAATCGGGGTGCGATATCCATAGACAGGCTGCAAGGCCAGAATACCTCCCTCAGAAGTAAACTAGCCTTGATTCTGGGCAGTCCCTTCTGTGCTCCATGCCCTTTCCCAGGTCCAGCCTTGTCCTTTCCAGGCTTGCCACTCATAACCTCAACCCCATCAAAATGCACCCTTTATCGGCCATTGTCTGTTGCCTGAAACACATGCTCCATCCTGTCCACATTCCCTGACTCATCGATAACTGCCATGTTGACCTCACATACTTCTTCGAGTATATTGACCTGGTGCGGTGGCTTGTCTCTTGATTGTGGAGTCACAGCGGACTGAGCTGTCCCTAGGGCAGATGATCTGAGGTGCTGAGAGTACCAGGAGTTGACCAGATTCTGCATCTTGCTCCTGGGGCATGCTCTCAGAATGTATCCTCTGTCCGGCAGTCAGATGCAACCATTCTCATCACGATATACCTTTCCGGCCTTGACATCTTCCTCCACATGGGGGCAACAACTCATGAAGCAGTCCGGTCCATCGCAGTAGTTGCAGTTGCAGTTCATGGGGTAGCCCATCATGTTTCTGGGTGCTTCTGCTGCCACCCTTGCCACAGATGTATTGGCCAGCCCTTGTAATGCATAGCCTCCCCAGTGCCCCTGTCCATCTGTGTTGGACTGAGCCTGACTCTGTAAGAAGCTTGTTAGTCCTTCTACCAATTTCTGCAGGTCTGCAATTTTTCCAGACTCTTGCTTGATGGCTGTCGCAGTCACCCCAGAGGTCATTCTGTTGGTGGCATTCATAGCAGAGGCTGTTGTGGGGGCAGCCGAGGTGGGTCCCAGACCACTGGCATTCACACCTCCTCCAAGGATTCCATAGCTACCCCCAACTAGGCCTCCCCCCACCAAAGTCTTCTGAGCCACATCATGTACATTTTTCATGCTCCACAGATTATTGGGGTGGTGGTTCAGGTGGAGGATCTTGCACCAGAGCAGGATGGTCACCTTTTCAATGGGTGGAATCCTCTGACATATTGCTCATCCTGGGCTGCAGGTGACACTTGGCCCATCCTGATCAAGTAGTTCATGATCAGGGCGAACTCACAGAAATAGATTGCTTCCTCAGCGCATGTGTGAATGCCATGGGCAAGTGCTTTAGTGACACATTGTTCTAGATTCTCAACAGTGTAGAGTCGATCACCCTCCACCCTGAGGTACAGCTCGAAGATCTGCTGCTTGAACATAGGATAGTCAGCTGTTGCTGCCACAGAGACCATCGACCATAACTCTTCCTGCTGCACAGTGAGATAGTGCAGTGAGTAGTAGACCTTTTGTGCTCCTGTAAGCCCAGCCTGTATTGCCAGTTCATCGAGATCATCAAAGTATCGACAGAGCTTTTGAGGCTCACCGTCAAATGTTGGCACAATCTTCTGTCTGCAGGCTGGCATCAGGAAACCCCTTCCCAGAGCTTGTCCCAGTCCTTGTCCTCTGCCTCATCCTGGTTCACCTCCACCACCTGGTCTGCCTGGTCTGCCTCTGCCACCTCTGCTGCTTCCTGGCCCTCCTCTGCTGCCACTGTGGGATCCTCCATTACCAGAGCCAGATTCCCCACTGTGTCTGGCCACTGTGAAGATAGGTATTTGCAAAGTGAATGCTGACCGAGTCCCTGTTACCAGTTCTGGGGGTTGCTGTATAGTCACTGTCAGGTCCATCTCACCTGACATTCCTTTGGGTGTATAGGAGAGTGTGTGTTTTCATTTTCATACCTCAAATCACACTGTCACCATTTGTTTTGGTACCGTGAAGTGCCCGGGAGAATTGCAGACAGGTCTCATAGTATCGAATCTTCTTGCCATGCTATGTCAGTCATGTCATCGTATGTCAACAGTTTGTATTTGTCAACTCCTACTGTTGTGTTGTCGATAGGGATTTTGGGGTATAGGTTCTCTGTAGTCACTCCGGAGTCAGACGTGGTCTCAGTCGCAGTCTTGATTGCTTCCTTGAAAGTTTTGTCTGAGATGCTTGGCATTGCTGAGAATGTTGATGAAGCTGAGGTGTCTATGTCCGGGGACTTCAATCTTTCTGACACTTTTTCCTTGGCAAGGGCTTAGGCTGCCCTAACTTGGCTTCAGGTCTTCACCTTCCTAAACTTTTCCCCCCTTGCAGTGGGCTTTGGAAAATGTGATTGTGAGTACTCAGCTAGCTGTGAAAGGACAGCAAACAACTGAGTGGGATGAAGGGGGAACAGTGTAGGGAAAGTCTGTGTCTAGAGGCAACACAAGAGCCAAATGTAAAAGATGGTGAAGAAATGGATCAACAAGGCAGCCAACAGGCCTGCAGCCATGTAGAGTGTACGGGCTGGGGTGATTACACGAGATATGTGTGATAGAATGGTTCCGGAGCGAGTCTAATGACTTCTAGACAGAGTACAGGAATCTCAGGAGGTGAGCACACTGTCTCAGTGGCAATGTCCCGGTGGTCAGTCAAGCACGTTTGAGCAAAGAGCTTGATTAGACTGAGAAGTAGGAGTAGTAGATTGTGGAGGAGAGGGTTACCTCATCTTGCTCATCTTATTCTGAATCCCCTGTAGGGCCACCGCTGTGGACCACTCCATCACATCTCGTTCTGAATCCCTTGGAGGGCCACCACTGTGGACCACTCCATCACATCTCATTCTGAATCCCTTGGTCACTATTCACCCATATTGCACTCCACTCACTGCAGTTCCTGAAAGCCCACCCCAGTGGTTGTTCTGTACCACAGAATCCTCTTGTCCTCATTCTGGAGACATCCCATTTGCTCATCGAACACCCTGCCTGACCTGCCCCAATGGTTCCACCTGCCTCTTTGCTTGTGCTTGTGTGCTAGGTTTCTCTGGCTTCATCTTGGACATGGTCTCCCATCAGTACCTCATCTGGTCCACAGCTGCAGTCCTTGGACATGTCCACTAGCTCAACCACTGATCTCCCCATTTTCCCAGTACTTGCAACTTTCCACCCATCTCACTTTCCACCATGTCACACACATTGAACACCACCCTTGATGAGCCCAGATCAGCTTATACCTTGCAGATCCATTGGTTCTCCTTTTTCTTGAAGCCCTCTCTGTCGAACATGTACATGTCCAGACCAGATCACATCCCACTGTGGTTGAGTGGAATGAGTGGTGCTGCAGAGTCCAATCCCTTCTAGTATGTGTTCTGCCCCTTCTCTTCTCATGCATTCATGTTGACTCCTCCATTTAGGAACTTGCTGATGCCGCTCACTTGGAGTTGACTCAGTCCGGAATGCAGGTGCCTCCGACCAATTCCTTTGGGTGGGTCAGTGACCTTCACACCCTCACCGCTTCACCCTTGTTGCCTGACTGCCAGTCGGTGTCAGCTCTCTTGGATCGGCTTCTGTCCTTGCCTCCTCAGTCACTGATTGACATGTTCCATCCCAATGTTCCCTGGTCCAGGGTGATAACACCTGCTTCGTTCTGTATCGGGCAACCCTCGCTTATTGTCCATGCCTCTGCTCCTGAGTTGCAGGATGACAATCTGAACTGTACACTGCACCAGGAGAACTTTGCTGGAGATGACAGTCCATTTTGAGGTTGCATCCCGAGGTCCATAGTGCATCGTTCATGTAGACCATCCGTACTCCTGTCTCGATGTATCTGTTTCGCCCTGAACTCGATGTCAAATGTTAGGGAAGTGGATTCATAGTGAGGGCAGCCATGCTGGCCACCTTACAGCATGACAGTGACATCAGCATCTGTTCACACAGCAGACATTCATTCCAACTCAATGAGTGTGGTAGCTGCATTGACATCTGATCATTTGTTCATTGCATCTGATCACGATCGAGGTATGCCAACAGGTGGCATTCTTCAGTTATTATTGATACTGATAGATACACTTATTCTAGCAGCAAATCTGCTCCTAGCTGCAATACCCGTGTCGCGCTTCTATGGCTGACATCAGAGTGGATCTGTCTAGATAGCATCCTCAACACTGAGATCCTCAGCCCTCAGCTCCTGATCTATTTCTCTATCTGCACTATGTGTTGCAGTGTCCTCGTTGATGCTTGTACTAAGAAGTAACTTGATTCCCCTATCAATCATGTCTCGAATGTCGAAGCAAGTTGCTCGCCCTGCACAAATTTTATTTGTGTGATGCACCTGCATGTAAGCTTGTAACGCTCTCAGCGGTTTCACGATGTTCTTGCTGCCATGTGCCGAGGTCAATCCATTCAAATGGTAGTTGCACTCCGCATTGCGAGTGCAGCTTTGATACACAAGAATATTGGGTGATTCTGCGATGATATGGTCCCTTGTATAGTTCGGGCCTTCGCCACCATGTTTATCCTAGATATTCATGTCAGTGACATCAGACCATTCTATGTGATACTTCTAACCTTTGTGAGCAGATTATCATACTCGAGAACCCAATCGATGCCACGAAACGCATCTGGCTTGCCAGTAGGGTTCACTAGGATATTCAATCTGATTGCATATCTCATACTCATTTGTAAGCCTGCATCTATCATGCTGTGTCATGATGAACTCACTGCAGGCAGTTGGGATATACACTTGGGTAAGAAGGCCATTTCTGGCAGGAACAATTCCTGAGGTCCTGATGTTCTTCATAATGGACTTTAATAAGTTTATCATGATATTCACCACATTGATTGAGGGGAACATATTGTTATTCTCATTGAAATATCAGTCTCTATGGCAGAAATCAAGAATGGTATGATTGTTCGAGAAGCAGCTATATTTAGAGTGACATTATTTTATGGCAAAGAAGACAGTTGAAAGGCAATGGTGTGTAGCAGACTGTGTTTTCATTATTGAAGGTTA